AAACAAACAAATTCTAATGAACTTACATTCTGTCTGTTTTCAACCAAGTGAAGCTTTAACGAGCACAAAGTGTGTCAAGCCCCCTGTTATCGCCCCATGATTTCATTGGTTAGTCATGTAGCTCTGAACCCTGCCATTAACTGGAAGAGAGCGTGTATGTGGGAGGGCAGCCGAGCCGGCAACTAAAGGGCCACTTGGAGAGTTTGGGTCCCTCCAGATTGCCGTAGCAACTACTCTACTTCATAGCTATTTGAGGGAAATCGGCCACACCTATCCAACCCTCTCACCCTGTCTCCACAGTCCCCTTCCCCTAACCCCTACACACACACACATAGCACATCCCAGCTAAAAACAACCTTGCCCTGTAAAGGGTTGAGTGGCTCTCTACCACCACTTCTGTAAGAATAATACACTCACCGCGTAAATGTATTCTGGTTACTGAATAAGTACCTGTGTTTAGTTTCATATTCCACTGGGTGAATCACTGGTGGGGGTGTTGGAGGGGAACTAAAAGAAAAAAAACGTAGTTTAATGGAAAATTGTTCCTGTATGGGCGTTTTTGTAACTTACAAAGCACAGCAGAAACAACAAAGAGAGTTGTTTTTTCTTTAGAAGCTTTGCAGTTAAGTCACAAATCTACTTGTAGGCATGTCTGGCACCATTACAGCATTATGGCAACTACAAGGAAGAATGGTTTGTATGCAAATGGAAACTCATTTTAGAACCAGAAAGGAAAAAGAGAGGATGTGTAGGACCTGAAATCCCATTCTGGTCCAAAATACTCATCAGCTTTAAGTCTAACCCCAAATATAACATAACCCCAACCCTAAAAAACAACATAACCAAAGTTAATTTTCAGTGCTGTTTTATTAACATTAGTTCAGTTATGTTGACGTTCAGTTTTTGGACCGGTGTATTTCTATAACCCTGCATACAGCAATGCTGGTGAGGTACTCCTAAACAAATGTATAACTGTGTCTCTGTGTATCTAGCTTAACACATCAAAGTAGTTGTTTTTAGACAATTATTTCACAACTTTTATTGTTTATGCCTTGGAAAAAATACCGGTGTCAATTGTGGGTACAGCCACACTCGTGAACAAAAATCAGAAGTGCTGATACTCAGTACTGATGAGTACCAGCCCATTTCAGGCCCTGTTTTTGCTTCATTTAGCTAGTAAAAAGTATAAAGTTGTGTGATACTCAAAGTTGTAACAAGGCTGCTATTTATGTAGAAAATGTTCTTTACTAACTAGTAAAGAGGCTGTATTTCTGTTGATATGTTAAAGATGAGATTAGCAATGCAGTCACTTGTTTTCTCATTCTTGTTCTACGCATATTCCAAAAGGTGAGAGCTTCCAATATGGCTGCCAAAAAAACATAAATCAAAATCTCCTGAAATTTGAAGTCCCTCTCCTGTCAGCAATCAGTGTTTCTATTTGTCCCAACAGTGTGATGTTTGAATGCTGTATTACTTTCTGAGGATTTTAATGTGAAAATTACACTTTTTTGGCAGAAACAGTATATCAGACACACATTATTGCACCAAACAGACATCTGTAATTAAATCAAAATTCAGAAATTCCTTATCGGAATAAAAACCATAAAAAAAATGTATGTGAATGTCATAAATTAACGAATGTCAAAACTGTAAAAATGTATTACTAGCTCTTATTCTCTTCAGAAAATGCAGCAATAACATGATGCTACTGATGAATACATAATAGATTAATTAGTATTACACTTTGGCAGATGATAGTGTGCCTAATTTCTTACAAAAGTAATAATAGATGAAGGAGACTACGTCTACTGAACCATTTAAGGCCCACTGTTAGTTCACACTGCAGGCACAAGTGGCCCAAATCTGTCATCTCTCATATGTGACTCAGATCAGTTTTTATTTATGACTGTGGTTTTTGCAATGTGACCTCAGTGTGAACAGTCATATCACAATTCATCTGACTTTTACATCACTGTAGATCCACATTTGTAACGCAGTTCACCTCAGGAACGTGACCTATTCACACTGGAATTGGATATTGGCCAAAAACCTAAAAATAATGTGAACAAACAAAAACAAAATTTCATCAAATCAGACCTGAGCAATTAATCAGAATTGAGTGTTAAAGCTTGCAGTGTGAACGTCCCCTTAGACTTTTAGTATATTTTACACTTTTTGTGCAAATTATGCATAATTCTTGAAGTGACTCTCATATTTATAGTAAAATGTGCATCATTATATAGAGACTTAATTGGTAGACTTGTGCAAGACACTAAATGTTCAGCAGTTCAGTGAGAAACAGTAATATACTCCTGGACCACCTTCCACAATCCCTACTGCTCTTGTTCTGTTGTCACACCTCAAGATTCACACACCCTGAACTGCCTGTTCACTGTTCTCTTCCACATCGTCATTTCATATTCAACTAGTGCTTTTTGGGCTCTTCAGCATGTGCAGGTATATATTGGTGCGTTACTGACAAGTTCAACAAAAACATGGGAATTCTATAAAGAAAAATATGTTTTTTTTTTTTGTTTTTTTAATAAGATAAGCTAAAGCCTTATTATTCCCTGGAGGGAAATTCAGGTGTCATAGCAGCAACAGCAAAAGAAGAATGAAATACAGGAGGGGTACAGGTAAGAGTACAGAACCAAACAAGGATCATAAGAATAAACACAAATATGAATTATATATGAAATAAGCAAAACACTGCTGTATACTGCCATATAGAACAGTAGTAGAATAATATTTTCAATTATATATTATTTGGAAGACATGTTCTTAAAACAGTCTGAATCTCATGCCTCATTGAATCCACTTGGTGGCAGTGTTGCCTCACAAAGACTCCAAAACACAGACTTCAGTCCATAGTACAGTTTTTCTCGAAGACACTGATTGTATAATCCAGGTCTAAGGACACATGGTTTTTGTGGACGTTCTATGGTGGAACCTAATATGGAGTCCAGATCGAAGACTAGATGGCTTCAATGGATCTATTCTTTTTGTTTTTAATGATTTCTCATTGTTTCTCAATGACCAACCATATTAACAAAAAATGAATGTAGACGGTTTTCATGTGAGAAGGACTGTAGCTGTACCTGTGAGGAGTTTACTCTTATTTGGAGAATATTTAACCAGTATATTATTTTAACAGGTACTCATATTTACTCATTCAGATGCCTATTGGCATTCATATAAGTAGCATATTGGCTTTTTATTAGTCATTATAAAGCCCCAATTAATGCCCTATTCTGCAAATTCTGTAACTACTAGGCCATCAACTGAGAGTTTTCCCTCAGTAACATAATAAGGTCGTAGTACCACTAAAATACTCCTCCCTTAAAAACACTTTATAAATAAATAAATCTATTCTTATGTAACAAAACACAAAACTGCAAGTGTTGATAGTGTCCAAACAACTCAAATTTAAATCTGCAGTAGGTAGCTTTGAAAATTATACATTTGTCATATTTGCTGAAACTTTCACTATATCCTGGGGGGAAAATCTGGTTCCTCTGGCTCCTTCTAGTGCTCATAACGACATCTGCAAGAATCCACCGGGCCTGAAAGAAAACAACCAATCAGAGCCAACAAACATAGTTGATTGTTGAGTCTCATTCCCAGGTTGTCATATATGGATGCTGGGAATGAAACTCAACTATCTTAAAGCCACCAACCCAAAGTGTCTTTCTAGCTTTCTTGGCTCTGATTGGTTGGGTTATTTTTTTCTTTTTCTTACCTACTGCAGCTTTAAGTCTATTGAACTCAGAATATGTTCCCCTTTCCAAAGTGAGCTCTTGTTCATAACTGCAAGACCTTAAACCAGTGTGATAATTTTAAATAGTGTAAAAGATTCATATAAGGAGTTCGGTCTAGACCTGCTCTATTTGAAAAGTGTCCTGAGATAACTTCTGTTATAAATTGGCGCTATACAAATAAAATTGAATTGAAAATTGAATTCAAAGTCTTATGAAAGCACAATATTCATAGGCATGAGCTCTCTTTAGAATTTGGAACATATTCAGTCAGAAAGACTTAATTTAGAGTTATTTGGACACTAGTAACACTTTATTTGTTTTGTGTTTGGTTACATAAAAATAGACCATAAGTGTTATTATAGAGAATGAGTATTCTTGTAGTACTACTACCTTACAAGGTCCAAACCATAATAATAAGATCATAATATATGTACAACAACTTCCTTACTTACCATCAATAGGCAGTAGTTAGGAGGTTCTTGGCCTAGTAGTTGTAGAATATGGACATGCAGAAAAAGGCATTAATAACTGCTTAATGATGAGTAATAAAGAGCCAATATTCTACTAATATAAATGCTAATAGGAAACTTATAGTGAATATAATGTGTTACCATTATTTTTATGCAGCATTTCAATGTATGTAATTGTGACACCTTTTCTTCCAACAAAGATTCATTATTTCCTCACCAGAATGTCCTTGTCACTCCTAAATGTCACACACTGGACCATTAACTGAATAAAAATGGTAAATGGATTGTACTTATATGGCGCCTTTCTAGTCTTTTGACCATTCAATGCACTGTACACTATATGCCACACACCCCACCCCATTCACACACATTTATAGACTGATGGCAGTGGCTGCCATGCAAGGTGCCAACTGCTCACCAGAATGGAAAATAATCATTCATACACACACACTGATGCACTTCATTGGGAGCAATTTGGGGTTCAGTGTCTTGCTCAAGGACATTTCGACATGCAGGAGCCGGGGATCGAACCGCCAACCTTCCGATTAGTGGACGACCCGCTCTACCAGCCACAGCCACCACGGCATTTAACAAATGTTAAATGTTAACATTTAAAATTATTGAATACATTTCAAACTTCCTTTCTAGTAATACTGGGTATGGCTATGAAATTCTATGAAGAGTTCCTTCCTTCCCCAACTATGTAAAGACATGGCAATGAAATCAAAGTGAAAACCCTAATTAAACAAACAAAACACGACACAAAGCAATGTTCTTTGAAATACACAGATTTTATTGGTGACGGTCTGACAGTGAATACTTGGCATTGAACAAAATACATCCATTACTGTGTAATAATTGCAAGAGAACAAGACATTTAAGTAACTCAAGATAAAAAAATAATTAAAACTCGTTTGCATCATCGATAAAGAACTAAAAGAACAAAGTGTACATTGTGTTGCTGAGATTATCCTAACTACAAGCTCGATCATTTTAGCTGTAAAATGTATATTTTAGATAGTGTTAAGCAGATACTTGTACATGATGCAAGCTGGCTAGACTGCTACCTCAAATCAAACCCACGGAACCACTGGACCTCAGACTGACTGACCGAAAAGTTCTCAGCTGAAAGGTCAAATGCTGCTGTTAAACAAGAATAGAAAGTAAACAAGGTAAATGTCAGCTAAACATGTCTTCATATATCATAGCTTTAAGTATAAAGCTGCTACATAAGTATCTTGTGAATCACATAATACTCAAGGTTGCACAAAACACATTGCAAATATCTAACTGAGGAAACAATAGAAACATGGTTTTATTAAATCCTCCCTCTTGATATCCACCCTTTGTGAGTATAGAGATGTGTAAAATGAATAAAAGGTTATTATGTTAGTTATCAGTAAGGTATGTGAAGTGCTGCCCTGCTATGGTAGTGAGCTGCCCTCGGTTACGAGCACTAGTATTGACTTCATCAGCTCAGGAAGCAGCAGGGTATCACACACAGCCAGTCTCCAACACGGCAACATGGCTGAGGAGCACAATTTATTCCAGAAAACACTACCATCATCATTATCATCATCATTGGTGGTAAACCTTGATTTTGTGTATTAGTAATAGTAATCACCTTGTTGTTTGTTGCTTGTTGTTGTTAAGCCATTCCTATGTGACACATGCGAGACATGCATTGCAGAAAGTGCCAGAGACAGCAGCTTGTGTGACTTTGTACATTGACACTGAAAAGCGACACAAGCCTTGATTCACAGTTCAAATAAATAATCAAAGTAAATGGCTTTAAAAACTGGGTATAACATCTTATTAAGATATCAAGATCCTGGAAACACTACAGCACAAAATTACTAATATGCCTGTGGGGGTTGTTGAACAATATCCATGTCTCAACAATTACTTGGGCTTTTTGTTGAGTCAAACAAGCAGACGACCAACAGAAGGTTCATTGTTCTACCAGTATTTATCAAGGTGATATGTTGTCTCTTTGCAGGATGTGTCATGTCTAGCTCTTCGCTGAACAGCTAGCTTAGAGACTTGCGTAAAGTCTTGTAAACAACATCTGCCTCCTTGAGTTGTGTTCGGATATGGTGTCAGGTATATGCATTGAATTAGAGGTTTTATTATTGAGTTCTTGGAGAGAGTTTGGTGATGCAGGGTCTTCCTGTAGATGCTCTGAAGCATACTTTGACCTTCACACATGAATTTGCACTATTGCCAACAGTTTTGACATGTTAACCTTTGAAGGAACAAAACCTCTAGGTATTATATTAGCTGTCGCACCTTCCAATTTTATATAACCTCTTAATGAGAAGTTAAACCAACAGTGTTTTTCCTATGATGAAGGTAGCCGCAGGCAGATGTACCCACAGCATGATGAAGTCACTACATCCACAAGCTGGACTGAGGACAAAACTTTTTTTTTCTACCGATGTTGTTGCAGTCCTGGCTGACAACAGAGGTGTCTCACAGTAATGCCCATTTAATTCAAGCTGTTTTGAGAGGATGTTAGGTGAACATGTGGAACATTGAGATGTGGCAAAGGCCTTCTATCGATCAGTGTGATGCTCAGTGATTACTTCTGAATTCACACTAATGTATAAAGCGAAGTATATTGTCAGGAGGGTGAGGGAATGCACTGTATGTTCCGATGGGATGAGTGAATACTGACATCACATTTTATTCACACTAGGCACTCTTTAACCAATGTGGCATTTTACTTATTGCTGACTATGTCTCAGTTTTTAACACAGAAACAACAATTTCTGCTAGATGCGATGGCTCAAGCTCTTTGCAGTAGGTGGAACACTCTTAATATGTCTTTAATGAATATGTAATAAATCATTATGAAATCCCTACAGAACTTGTACTGCAGGAGGGATGGACACATTCAGATACTGCCACCATTTCAAAGCTATATAACGGCAGACTTAATTATTGAAATGTTTCTTTAAGGACGGAGGTATTCAAGTTTCTTTTGTGGTTTTGTGATTGTGAGAAAAGTAACAGGCGACACATCCAGTCTTTCACTGTGAATGAAGACAGAAATCAAACCTGCCTTGGCCTCTCATGCTATGGCTGGTGAGAAAAAAATGCTGAGAGATGCTCTCTCTCTCTCTCTCGCTCTCTCTCTCTCTCTCTCTCTCTCTCGCTCTCACAAACACACACACACACTGCCAAAGCTGCTGAAACAACGCTAAAAATCTGTACAATATTTAAATACTGTATTTACAGAAATAAACATACTTCATTGTCTGTCTCAGCTGGCCCGCACCGGAGTGCAGAATCACACCTGGATTCAAAATATTCAAGTCGGCAAGTGGCATTTTGTCCACATGAAATAATCAGAAGCATAAACAAATAAAGGCAACAATTAAGCGCATTTGATGGCTGTCCTGGCTTCTCAGATTTAGTCTACAGCACGTTTCACATTCTTGGATTCAGATTTAATTGTGGGTAGTCTCTAAGTGACTTTGCTTGATGTGGCCTATTGATTGAAAAGACCAGATGTACTTGGCATACTTCTCCAGAGCATGCCATCAGTTTTTAGGCTGATTTCCTTATATCCAGGTAGGGCTGGATGTTGGTACCTTTATGGTACCATCTGCTGTGCTACAGTACTCCAGAGTACTGAAAAATGGACTGTGTCATTTGGTAATATGGATCAATACTTAAGCAGGTCACCTCACTGCGTCAAGTAAGGATGCCCAACAAGATCCTTTGAAGTTAGTAAAAGGGCCATATTTTGCAAGGACGGTTCTCCTATTGTCCTGATGCTCACTGCTCGACAAGAGTGCAACATAACCTGACAACAGGACAGACTGTGTAAGCTATTTATCTGCTGAACAAGCATAATATAAATTTGCAAAAATGCAACGTCTTCAAATCCCTGTCACATCTTTATCCACAGCTGGTGTGTTTTAAACAACCATGCAGCTCGAGTTAGACTACCAGTGAAGTGTTAAGAAAAGGCTGAAAACAAAAGCTATCTGTATGTGGCTGTAAAACCTAATTAGCCACGCATATTAAGGCTCAACATTAGCATTTTTGTATATAAATGAATATGTGTGATGTCAAAGGAATTAATCGTGAAAATGAATCTGTACAAACTGACAGAATTGTTTTCCACAGCTCTATTGATGGTTTTAGCGTCTTTCAGCTCAGTGTTTTGGTTTCATGGCACGCAAAGGTCAGCCTGGTTTCCAGCAGCAGTAGGTAGCTGTTTCCAGTAAAAAGGCTCTGATAAGCCCACTGTACACTAATGAAGCATTTAAAGCTAAAGAGACAGATTTTTTTCAAGAGTTGGTGGAGAACAAAAACAGAGCTAAAGGGAAATTAAATATTGGACTTCATCTGGTTTACACAAACACGACTCCAAATGAATGCTACTGCTGCTCCATGTCTCCTGAATGTCAGTTTGCTGTATCAACTTTGTACGAAGCTAATCTGTCGATGTTGTTTACAGCTTGTTTTGCTGCCCCCAAGTGGCCAAACAGTCAAGCCTTGGTCCCATCTTCATCCATGGCTGACCGATGGATCAGCTAGCTTGCGAGCTCTGGACCTGGGTGATAATGTTTGCATTTGTCACTAATGTAAGAATAGTTTTACTGATCATTGTTTACACAACTTTATAATCGTTATTATTATTATTATTATTATTCGTCATATTACTACCAGAGCTGGGGGCTGCTCAATGTTAAAAGGACATTTATCCTTGCCATTGTCAAAATTAGAACCAGCCAAATGCTAGTGAAATATGTCTTTCAAGCATACTTTATACATATGTGATGATGGAACAATTGACAGATGACCAGCGACAGTGACAGATAATGATAGTTAAAAGTTAAAGTTACCGTAGCTAGCATGGACTCTCAGAATGCTCTATGATTCCCATTCCCTATTACAAAGATGCTAAAAATGGAAGCTAACGGTATATAACCATTTATCCTAACTGGCCATGTATGTGTTGATGATTACTAATGATTACTTAACTGAGCCAACCGGTTGAGGCAAACATTTGCAAACCTAGAACCTGGTTTCTAAGTGTTTAAAGTTTTTTCTTGCCTAGTGCTTGCTCATGGTGGAACTGTTGGGTCTCTGTAAATAATGTTTTAAAGAGTTCGGTCTAGACCTGCTCTATTTGAAAAGTGTCCTGAGATAACTTCTGTTATGATTTGGCGCTATACAAATAAATCTGAAATAAAAACTGATTTAAGCTACTGCAGTAGATTCCTATTACTGATGGCTTTCTGGATGCTAAAAAAAATCTGTCCAAAATAAAATGGTATGCAATGTGTGACATATTCACAGTTTATAGTATGTATAAAGGGCTGAATCGTGCAAAACCACTAGTATAGCTGATGTAAGTTTAAAACATGAAGAGTATTAAGACCTTCCATAAAAGCTTAATGATGTGTTATTATGACTATGATTATGACTTTAGTAATCATACATAAAACAAAGAAAGTGAAGCATGTAAAGATGCACTCTGAATGTGTATGTACCATGTTTGTGTTATAATGTATGTCCTGTTTTTTGGCTTGGAGAGCTTTTACTCTGGAGGGAAGATTTGAAAGGCTGTGCTGTAATACATCATGGCTAAGAAGTGATCAAACATCAACAGCAAATAGGCCTTTATCTGTCCAGTCAGGAGTTCTTAAACCTGCCTCAACAAAGCTGTAGCCTGTAGCAAGGGGTTTATTATGAATGTGTGAATGCTGTGGAGCTCCTCGGGAAACTACAGGGACGGAGTGAAGTGATGGACCTAAAACACACTGAACTCATCCAGACTGTCTTTTACTTTTCCTTGTCATAACGTGGATTCTACAGTTGAATGTCAGCCCAGGTTTGAGGTGAAGTTTAACACTTTCATTCAAACTGTCTACCACCCATGCTTACACTGAGTGACCAAACCTTGAAATTCATGAACATTAACCACTTTCCAGTAAATATCCTCAGCTTGTGTGTGTGTGTGTGTGTGTGTGTGTAAGCTGTATGTTTCCATTTCCATTGCTTTTGTAACATTAGCTCCCTCATTCCTTTCCTAATGGCTAAGGAAGTCAATGCTAGATTTGACTGTGCGTCCGGTGGACACATCCACTGCCATGGCACGAATCTCTGTGTCACCGAACTGCATGAGCGTCTGGATCTCGCGCCGTGGTGCCGTGCTTTCCGTTCCAGTCACATCCAAGCGAAGTGTGCCACACTTCCTGACGCCGGGTTCACTGATGAACCCCACATTCTCCTTCTCGGAGCAATAGACGTGGATGACGATGACCTGCTGAGAGGGCTTGGCAGGTGTGTAGCTCCGCTTTACCATCTCACCCAGTGCCACGGACTGGTCGGCAGCAATGAAGGTGTCAAAGACGTCGGTGCACCAGCGCGTGCCGTCCTTCACCAACAGCTTCTCCGGTGGATGCTTGCCCTCAACAAAGCGATTGAGGACGCCAACCCCGTATGTGAGGGGCGAGCGGCGGACTTTAATTATGCTGGGGTCCAGGCCGAATAGCACAGCGCCTTTCAGAATGGTGAGGCCAACATCATGGGGTATGATGATGCGACTACGGCCCTGAAGCATGTTCTGGACAGCTTGCTGCAGCAGGGGAGATTCCGCAAATCCTCCCACTAAGAACAGGAACTTAATGTCACTCACCTCTGGCTTTTCAAACAACTCGCCTGGAGGAGGAAAACAGAATGTCAATGGAGAAAATAACTGTTAGAGGAAGGAGTGCAAAAAAACGTAGTGTTGGTAAAAAACTGGGTATGTCCGGTGGTAAATATCAACTATTTTTTACTGTCAAAATTTCAATGTTCCAATTGACAGATACTTTTCCAACACCATCCTCAAACCACCAAAATTAGTGTAAAAATGTTGTGTGCCGGTACATCAGATTATCAGACATCTTAATTTACGTACAATCTTATTACTGGTCAGAATTATGAGCAAAACTATGAAAATTGTAACACCAAAATAATTAATAATTTAAGTATAAAGAAGAAAAATAATTAATTATTAATAATTAGAATTATTATTAATGCATAATGGGTAAATTAGTTTTTCACTCCATTTTTACACACACATATGCCCAAAATACAATCACGAATACACAGGGTTTACACACATGCAAATATGGAGAGATGGTGAAAGGATGGGCCGCCATGTATGTCGCCCTGGGGGTAGTTAGGAGTTCGGTGCTTTATTCAAATAGTTACAGGCTGCCAACATAGAAAGGTGCAGGTAGTTATATGTCAATTTCTAGACATTATTAAAAGTGTTAGAAGTACTAAGGCTTAATATGTTGCTTTGTTTGCCTTTTCTACTTACTATGGCACATTTTAGTTCAGAACAACAACAGGTAGAGACATTTCAGTGTATTTCTGATCAAATCTGACTGCAGTGCTTTAATACTGGTACTCTCATTTCTTGCTTTCTGCATGCTTTCATGTTACTGTCCTGAAGGAAGGAAAGCCAAGCAAGTCACAAACAACCTGAGCAAACCAATTAGAATCAGACCGATCCATGCTAAAGTAATGTGACCTCCTTTCCTCTGGAGGCTTTAAATTATGTAGGTTGGCTGGTTTTAGGGAGACTCTCATTTAGAAGACTGAGCAACAACAACACAGCTCAGAATGTCTTAAACTGTCACTATGCCCAGTGAAGACTGTTAGTATCTACAGTCACTGGTGACTGTTGTGAAGTTGGGTACATCTTAAGGTATACAGTGTATGATATATAGTTTCCATTAGCTACTTATGAGGCAATGATTACTGGCTATATCTTAACAGATGTGTAGTAGTTGTTTGCTGTAGTTTTACCATGAAACAAAAACTGGTATTAATGTCAGCATGACATTTCATTTGCAGCTACAAGACTTGTTTGACCACAAAATTCAGACTGTGATGTACTAATTTGTGTGTGTGTGTGTGCGTACGTGCGTGCGTGTGTGTGTGTTATCTTGTAGTGTTTTATGTGTATGTTAAGTAAGATGTGTGGTCCCATGCGCCCGATTGGCTCCAGCTGTTGCCTCCCTACTTCCTGCCTGATGAGCCAAAGATTCTGATTTGAGTGGCACTCAGTCCAGTTCTCCAATCCAGATTACATGCAGAATAATTTGGGAGTCCAAAGCTATAAAAGCTTGGCCAGACTGACAGTCAGGGCAGCTGGTATTTGCAGCGTTTTTTTTTTTTTAAACCTTTATTTATTCAGGTTCACTGGGAGAAAGCGCCCACATTCACATATTCATGCACTAATACCCTGACGTTGACCACCACAATCTGATTTGTTGGCCACTGCGCAGGTATAATGGAGCAGTTGGGGTTAAGGGCCTTGCTTAAGCACCCCTCAGTGGTAGTAATGAGGGAGGGGCAATCTTCTTCACTTTACCCACCCAAATTTCGGGGTTTGAATCTGACCTGTGGCCCTTTGCTGCGTGTCATCCCCTCTCTCTGCCCCCCTTTCCTGTCTGTCTTCAGCTGTCACTGTAATAAAGGCAATAAAAAAAAAGCCCAAAAAATATACTTAAAAAAAAAAAAAGCACCTGGTTTTAGGTTGCTTCCATTTCTCTTCACATGTGTGTGTGTGTGTGTGTGTGTGTGTGTGTGTGTGTGTGTGTGTGTGTGTGTGTGTGTGTGTGTGTGTGTGTGTGTGTGTGTGTGTGTGTTTTTGAGGTGTTGAAATTATTAATGTTGCTTACGGAGATGTTGGATGATGTGGTCTATGGTGGGCTTGAAGAGGGAATTCATAGCATCTGGACTCATCCTCAGCATCCCCTGAGATGACCATTTCACAAAATCCACACTGGAAAGGAGAGGAGAGGAAGAGAGGAGAGAAATAAGTCACATGCAGGATAAGATAATGTGTGTGCTTTGGTTAAAGAGATAGTCCAGAGATAAAGCAGTTTTAGAGAATTTGATTGGTTTTGCCAGAATCAGAGACTAATAAATTCTTTAGGGCAGACCTTTTTTCTGTATTTATGTAATCTGAAATGATGTCTAACAGCAATATTGGGCTATCTTGGCAAAAAAACATAATTTTGTTACCATATGCATCCATGAATTGAGCAAAACTGGATTAAATGGATGTGTTCAACTCTACCAAAATACAGCTCGGTCTATTTTCCACCAAATCCACATTCACACTGCAGGCAAAAATCTGATCAGCTTTTTGCTCATCATGTGACTCAGACCTGATGTTTTCATGACAGTGAACATCACAAATCACATGGAAGCTGATCTGTTCTGTCAGATCTGATTTGGGCCACTTTCATTTGTGGTCCAAATATAGGTCTGATGTTTTGCAGTGTGACCTCAGTGTGAACAGTACCATTAGAATTCCTCTGACATTTACATCACTTTAGGACCGTGACCTGTTTACACTAGAATCTGATATGGGCCACATTTAACAAACAATGTAAACAGACAAACAAAACAAAGAGTTTTTTATTTTGTGGGCAGAGAAAGAGCTGCACTGACATATCACCTTATCAAGTTGTTATATGGAAGCAGGCAGTTCCACTCAATGAAAATGAGTCCAACCTTCACTTTCTTAGTTATTTTTTGGTCTCCACAAACATTTACCAGCTAGTCTCTTAACTTAAAACTATTTGTTTGCTTTTTGGACAAATAGTGTACAGTAGGTTTATCAGAGCTGCCTCTGCTGGAAAAGAGGCTGATTAGACAATTTCTCTGAAAGATGCTCAACATATCATCAATACAAAACTGTTGTTAAGTGCAGCTTTAACTACCATTTCAATCCTACTTTGAGGGATTGATGAACCACCCTCTTCCTCTTCATATTGCATGAAATGAACTGATTCACTACACTGAACACAGTGCTTGGAACATGTGTATGGAATAGCCTTGCACAACCAGTCAACAGATTTATACTTGGACACTGTCACTTTAGCAATCTATGCAGCCTGGTTTTGGTGCACATTTGTAGAGAAATGTGGTATTTTCAGATTAGCCAGTGTTCCCCAGCTTGAAAACTTGAGGCAGAGACCAGTGACAGCCATGGTCTGTATATACCATAGTCATTGATTTTTTGTTGGCTATTTCCCTTCAGACCTGTCTCCTGAGACCTACAGGGATATCTCCCTCTGCCGCCTGATGTAGTCTGTCTGTCGGATCATAAATCCTGTAAGAATCTATAGTATCCATCTGCTTTGATCCCATGTGTGTGATTTATGTACAGTATGTAATGTGTACACAAGTGTGTGATCGTGTTAATGCTGGTCGCTCCCAATGCTTTCCAGCACACTGAGACAGAGAGTGATTCCAGTTAGGCATCAGAGGAGCCTGGAGGTCACTGAGGACTTTAGTTTCAGCTACATACATATATTTAATGTCCCTCACTGTGGGATTTTGACAATCCACACAGACATGAGACAGGGCCATTAAAGAGTCCATGGTGGTCCCAGAAGTCAGTCGTTATTGTACTCTAATGGCTGGAAGAGAAAAGTTATATCACCATTTAGGGATGCACCGATCCACATTTTTTCACTTCCGATACGATCCCGATACCTGAATTTGGATATCGATACTATTCCGATACCAGAGCTCTGTTTGCTTTAATATTATTATCATTATTGTTGATTTTATATGAGGCTGAAATAAACTCCGCTCAACAGGCAAGTATGATATGTACGTATGTATGCATGTATGTCCCAAAAGGCAACTTGAGGTAAGTATAAGGTCAGAAAAGGAAGTCAGAAAAACAGGAAATCCTGAAAACAAATATGCAACTGTAAGGGTTTCAAATTGATTGTCATGTCAATATTTATTATGCCTCCAGAAGTGATTCCTGACAGCTCCTTTTGTCTTTCTGCCCCTGCTCTTCTTCTTCTTCATATGGATTTCCGGCAGTTTAGATGCTTCTAGGCGTATTACTGCCCTCCTCAGGAAGTCACTCTAAGGATAATGTCTTCAAATTTTCATATATAGCCCTGTATCGTGTAAGAACTGTAATACTACTTTAACAATCAAGTGGTGGTTCTCATTTTGACCCAATAATCCTCGTGCTCTTTCGTGTGGTGCTTTTTTAAATGTTTGATTGCGTTCGTAGTGTTGTACGACGCGAGGGAGCTTCCGCCTCTCTGAATCACGGCTTTGCTAGCTGGCTGCAAACTGCGGAATGGATTTCCTGAGCGGGGGCGTGTCTCATAACTCTGTGTCTCATTGAGCCGCGCCTTCGTTCAGGAAATCCATTCCATAGTTTGCAGCCAGCTAGCAGACAGGCCAGCAGGAATCACTTGTGGAGTCATTTCAGCAGACAACGTTAAAGTGGAGACATGGCTCATTGATATCGGATTTCTCCGCAGGTTGGATCGGGAAAATCCGATATGTGAATTACGCTGGTATCGGTCCCGATACCGATACTAGATCGGATCGGCCCCATCCCTATCACCATTAATTAATGCCATCTTTTATCAAAGAAAGAAATCTGTTTCATTGTAAGTGGTGCTGGGCCTCCATCAGCATGGCTTTTTCAATCTATCCCTCCACCAACTTTGGCCAAGTGGAGCTGTTTCTTTTAATCACAGGGATCGTCTTTTTGGTTTTTTTTGGCTAAGACAGTTTGCTGGTCCGATAACCATCATTTCTGTCTTAGCAGAATGAAGCATCAAGGAATTTGTTGATAACCAGCTCTTAACAGCTGCAAGACAGGCCTCAAGTTTAGCTGTATTAGACTCGCTTCCTACACCTAATGGCATATACAGCTGCATATCGTCAGCATAACAATGAAAAGCAATCCCAAAAGAATGGAAAATCTGACCCAATGGGGATAGGTAAAGTGAAAAAAGCAATCGACCCAGTACAGACCCCTGGGGAACCCCGTGCTTGACGGCACAGGACTCAGAGAGTATGTTGTCATATAAAACACATTGAAATCTTTCTGACAGGTATGATCTTAACCACTCACCACTCACACTTGTCCTGAGATGCCAAAGAAATTCTCAAGTCTATCCAATAGTATACATTGGTCAACCGTATCGAAAGCAGTGCTAAGATCTAACAGCAATAAAACACTTGTTGACCCTGAATCTATAGACAGTAGCAAGTCATTCACCACTTTTGTAAGTGCTGTTTCTGTGGAATGATTTACCCGAAAAGCAGACTGAAATGGCTCAAATAGCTTATTTAGTGACAGATAATTTGAAAGCTGATTTGAGACCACTTTCTCAAACATTCTTGACAGGAAAGCAAGGTTTGAAACAGGTCTATAGTTGGTCAGGGAGTCTGCATCCAAGCTAGGCTTCTTTAGTAGGGGTTTAACCACAGCAGTTTTGAAGCAAGCTGGAAAGACTCCAGTGAGGAGGGATGAGTTTAAGATCGCTAAAACATAAGGTCCTAATGTAGGCCATAGCTCTTTGACAACCCAAGAAGGCAGAGGATCCAGTGACCAGGTTGTACATCGTGCCACCATTACAACCTTACTCAAAGAAGCCAAGGAAATTGGTTCAAATTCAGAAAAGCCTTGTCCTGTGCAGATAGACAAAGCAACAACACACTCTGCTTTGTCACTGTAAGACTGGGGTATTTTGGCTCTAAATGTCCTCTACCCTTACATTAAAATACAATAAAAATCATGTGCAGATAGGTCAGTACCACTAACTGCCTGAACACGCTGTGAGAGTCGAGAAACAGTGTCAGATAACGGTCCAGGATTATGCCTATTATTTGAAATCAAATTAGAATAGTAGGCTGCTTTTGCAGCTGACATCATAGATTGGTAGTTGGCCAGACTGTCTTTCCATGCATGATAAAACACTTCAAGCCTTGAGTGACGCCACTGATGTTCAATTTTTCTGCAGGTATTCTAAGGACTTGTACATCCTCATTTAACCAAGGGGTATGGTTCTTTATAAGACACCTCCAAGTCTTTACTGGAGCCACAGAGTCAAGGAGGCCCCGAAGAGCACTGTTAAAGTTAACAGTAAGGCGGTCAACTGAAAGAGCCTGATTAAATACTGGATCGACCACATCCGGCAAACCCATAGTAAGATCATGTAGAGCTCTTGTGCTGATATAACGAGATGACCTTGTTATCCTTGTTTCTTTCCCAAGGATGAGTGAATTTGGAATTAAAATTTCAAATAAAATTATTGAGTGATCTAAAACAGGTAACACAGAGATTTCATTTACCGAGACAGACAACCAATAACCTAAAACTAGATCAAGTGTATGTCCGCGCTGATGTGTTGGTCCAGTCACAAATTGTGTGAGATTAAAAGACTAATATTTAAAAAGTCTCTAACCAGAGCCTTGTCATCACAACAAATATGAATATTAAAATCACCAACAATCAAAATCCTTTCATATTGCAGAAAGAAGCTGGATAAAAAGTCTGAAAATTCAGAAATAAATTCATCATGATATTTGGGTGGACAGTAGATAACAGCAACCAAAACAACAGAGGGATTATTCAAGGTGAAAAGCTGCAGTTCAAAACTAGTGAACACAGTAAATTTCAGAAACTGTTTGCATTTAAAATGATCCTTAAAAAGTGAGGCCACCCCCCTCCACTGCCTGTCAGTCGAGGAGAACTGAAGAAACTGGAGTCAGGGGGACAGAGTTCCACCAGGGGCGCTAATTCACCGCTATGCAACCACGTCTCTGTTAAAAACATTACATCCAGCTCGTGGGAGTCATAAAAGTCACAGAGGATAAACGTCTTATTGGACAGTGACCGGGCGTTAAGGAGAGCCATTTGGACTTTCCCCACGTCAGCACCCGGTAGTTTTACAGTCCAGATGACGCAAGTTATCCAGACATGCACCTCCCCTTCCGCGCAACCTCTGTGACCAGCAGGGCTGCAACAGCTGATCGAGCTCCAGAGACACGAGGTAAACAGGAAGATTCCTGTCGGCACGCAAAATCCAATTGAATATGCCTGACATCAACAGCATGATCCCTGTTCATCATCCTTACTACCGTTTTAATCTTTACACACGTACTTAATCAAAATTACAGTATTTACATACTTTTACATTTTATAAGCTTATAAGTTCAGTTTGAAACAAGTGTACAACTTTCTTTCAACTTTGTTTTCTATAATTATTACTCAAAAACAATATCAACTCTAGGGTTGGGAACTGAAATTCAGTAGGAATATCTAAACACAATATGCTGTTTACATGACCGTCATCAAATGAGGAATACTGTCATATTTGGAATAATAGTGGAAAATTAGTGTGCATGTGATCGTAGTCAATGTCTGTCTCAGTCCTGTTTTTACCCATTCTGCCTCTCTGTCCCACCCTTCAGCTACACTCACACTTCCATAGGCCCTTGTGTTGTCATCCATCCATCCACACACCAGATGCCCTCAGATGTTCACACCTGTCCCGATCACCTGACTGCCCCATAAACCAGCTCAGGTGGTTCAAATCTCCCTCACCAGGCTTGCAGTACATAACCAGCCAATTTCCACTCATTTCCTGCCAGACTGTCTACTTTGTTCTGGGCCATTGCTTGCTTCTAATATACTGTTACCTGATCACTAATCTGCACCTGCTTGCCTCCACTCTTCGCTGCCATCCTCTGGACTCTATACTACTTGTGAACTAAAGCATTTGGGTCTACCTTTGCCCACCTATCAGTTGAAGATTTTGGCAAGTACGTTTATCAATCTTACGTCTGTGTGTTAAGTACAGAGCAGGAGTCAGGAAGTGGTTTGCTTAGCTTTTTAGAGACTGAAAGCAGGAGAAAATAGCTAGCCTGACTCCGTCTGAACTGAAAAAAACCCAACCAACACCAATAAGCTCATAAAATAACATTTCCAGTTATTTACCGTACAGATTATACAAGTGAGATACTTTTTGGCCTGTACAGAACAGGTTATTTACAGAACATTTACAGTTATTTACTGTACAGCTTAAACAAGGGAGATACTTCTTTTCCTGTAGATAGCATGTTATTTACAGAGCTTTTACAGTTATTTACCGTACAGATTAAACAAGTGAGACACTTGTTTGCCTGCCAATAAAGAGGACTTTACTACAACCTGTTGTCACAGACCATATCTTGCATACTGCACTATAGCTGGAGACGCTGCACAGAAGTGCATGGTGGTTTGCCATTCTCTGCGGTTTGCCAAAAAATAGTTCCAGCGTGTAGTTTTTACATTTCTGTTTGTGTACAGATTTAACAAATTAGATACAACATGTTATTGGACAGAGCCAGGCTAGCTGTTTCCCCCTGCTTCCAGTCTTTATTCTAAGCTAGGCTAACCACCTCCTGACAACAGCTCAGTACTTTTTTTCTTGCTTTCAGAAAAAATTAAATATTTCCTAAAACACTGAATTCTTTTTTTTACTACTATCGAATGTGTGTGTCTTTAAATTTCAAGCATTAAAAATGGAAACTATGATGACCGATTGCTGTTAATGTGCTATGCAAAGTCACCTACAACAGAAACAGTTGTCTCCATATTAATCGAACAGCTCCTGTTCTCTTTTCCAGAATTTTTTGTTACCATTTCTTATTCTGTTTCTTTATTTATATGATGATAAATAGATATACAAGAAACTGAAGGTTTGTCTCTGCTGCAGGTCTTTAAGATCCAAATAAAACAGATGGATGTTGAAAATAAAATAATAAAGCTTTGAAAGATAACCTAACCTCAGTTTTATTTTATACATATTTATTCCTGTTCTAATCTGTCAGTTTAAGAGGGTTTTCTGCATGTACTCACTTGCTTTTGCGAAGGGCATGCTCCACGCTGTGGCCCCTGAACTTCTTGTAGTAGTCGATGAAGGAGAAGGGAAGGTTAATATTGAGGGGGTTGGTTCTGTCAGGGGCTGCTGCCCTCTTCCGAGACTCAAATGCAATCATCAGGTCCACCCAGGCGGCAGGCCTCTTGATCTTAAATTGGTCGATGAAATCCTGGCCAAAGATCTTACACAGCAGCTTCTCAAATTCATAGTCAATCCCAAGAGAGCCATAGGGACCACCTGGGAAAAGAAGGTATTATGATTGCAAATTGAAGTAAGAAGAAACCTCAGCTGCATAAAGCAGGGAAAGAGTGTTATGTGTCCTTTTACCCGAGGCCTTGTAGAGCTCCTTTAGATGTCCCTCTGGAAGACGGATCTGATGGACAGTCAGGTCCACTGTTCCTCCGCCACAGTCCACCACCACATAACGGTCACCTGCACAGAGAATGCACAAAATGCGGTCAGCCTCTTAACTACATCTCTGCTGTTTAGGAACATTCTTAAGGGAGGTTGGAGGCAACTCTTTGTGACTCTTCGGCTTCCTGAACCAGACCCCAGAGAGTACTGCTGACCCACATTTCTGTAGCTGTGTGTCAACAGCACAGTGGTAAGGTGATGATGGTGATGGAGAGAAATTACATGAGGTAGAAAGTGGGACTCGGGATTGGCTTTGGCAAAGACAAGATGGTTGAGCAGCTGACAATTTGGACATCAGATGATTAACAAAGTGGAACACATTCAAGGTTTAATTTCTTTATAACTACATGTCACAGAACTTAATGTGGGTGTGCACCTGAAGGTGGGTTTGCTCTGCTAATGGCTTTTAAAAAAGGTAGCAGTTCCATTTGTACTTTACTAATATGTCCAACACAGTCACCCCAATAATCACATTTTTTGTCATTTCTACATTTACATGTTTTTAATTACTGAAAGGAAGAAAAGAATATATATATGAGATAGGCTCCCTTCCTCTCAGCTTCTATGTGTCTTTGGACGTGTTTGACTGTCAGCAGAGCCAGCAGGCTCTGGCATGGAGAGACAAAGTAAACAAAGTAAACTAAAAGTCAACTAGTAACTGTCTTACAAGCTTACAAGTACAATAATAGTCAGTGTTTTGTTAGCAGGGTGGTTAAAGAAGGTCAACATTATTCAGCAGATTGATGTTGACAGTCGCAGGTTAAGTGTTTAAGCTGTTTAATGAGCTACAGCTGACCTGCTTATTACCTTCTGGGTTAGCACAATCCTAAAACCCCAAAATATAAATTCTTCCCTAGTGGCTGTGTCTTTCCTCATCTACCTCTGTGAATTGAGGGTTTATCTCAACCAAAGCAGAGTCAGTGATTGTTGGAACAGTGGAAAGACTAACAAAGACTGTTTTGTTGAGTTTTATTTTGTTTCTGTCCACTTCAAATAAAGCTATGATGTAAAATTACTGTTTTTTTCCTATGGAGTCTGGTGGTAAGCAAGATGTTTCTGGTTTAACTAAAGGTTTATCTCTGTAGGGATTCGTTCCATAATGCTGTCAGACATACTGTGACAGGCGCATTTACATTGCATCGTCAGGATATTTTCACATCAAACTCAGTGAATTAAGGATTTATTTGAACAAAACTGGTATTGATGATTGTTGGAACAGTGGGAAAAAAATGTTTTGTTTCTGTACAGTTTGCATGTTTTTTATTTTAAGCAAAAAATGTTAGCTAGAAGGAAGTTATTTTAGTACAACCAGAATGATTATCATAAAGAAAGAAAATAAGGAAAATATGATGAAAGATAAAATGTAGTATAAAAATACATATTTAAATAAAAATAATAAATACAATTTCAAGCTATGGTGCCGTTCTGTCAATATTACATTACATTTCCTATAAATCTCTAGATTGTTATAGTTCTCCCCCCAAACAACATGCTAATGCTAATGCTAATTATTAGCTTTTTTTAAAAGTATTTTTTTTGGCTTTTATTGCCTTTATTAGATAGGACAGCTGGAGAGAGACAGGGAAGGGGGCAGAGAGAGAGAGGGGATGACATGCAGCAAAGGGCCGCAGGTCGGATTCGAACCCTGGGCCGCTGCAGCAAGGACTCAGCCTCGGTACATGGGTCGCCAGCTCTACCCACTGAGCTAACCGGGCACCCAACTAATGCTAATATCTAAAGCTGGATGACAGATTGGCAGCACAGAAACAGCAAGAGCATTTACCGTAGAGGAATGGGGAAAGGAAATCATTACAGATGGGTAAAAGAAGAGAAAGACTCTACCTTCTTCCAGCTCCGACCAAAGCTCCCCTATGACATTTTCCACCAAAAAGGTGCGGCTCTGCCGGTTGCGCCGGACATGCTCCTTAGCTGGTTGTTAACAGAGAGAGAATGTTCTGGTGAGTGTGATGAAGGCGTGAAGCTTGGAAGTGTGAAGCTGCATACAGTGGTGTGTGATGCAAGCGGCAGGCTGATGATTTTTATAATTACTATATAACACATATATATGAGTATATACCAGTCTAAAAGATGCAATCAATGCCTCTAGGACCATCTGTCACAGCAGGGTGACCAATCATGTTACTCACAGTGAGAACATGCATTGAAAGTGACGGGTTTAAAACAGACATAGAACACCTGCCAGTGTGCCGCCACTATAAACATTGATCAATAACCTTTATCAAACCTTCATTTAACCTGGTAATTCTGAATGAAATAATACATCTGATCTTCTAAATAAAACCATGCCAAGAAAGCAGCATCAACCCAGCAGGTTCATAATTCTACATTCATGCATTCATTCCTGAGGTTGACTGGCTAATAGCAGGAAGACCTGGCAGAAGTAAATGTCAGAGGGTCATTTCCTCCTACACAGAGGAAACAATACAGAGAAGGAAGGACAATTCTCCAACACTCTAATGAGCTTTGCAGAGGGCATGAGAGAGGTCTGCAGTTAACATTACGTCAACCTAACATTCCAATAAAAAGCACAACAGTTTCCTCCCAAGACAGTTTTAAATAATTATTTTTCTATAAAGCAGTTTTATTACAAAAAGAAAAATAAAACCATCACAAAAAAATAAATAAAACATGTCACTGCAAATGTATTACTGTAACATTAATATATACAGTAAAAAGCAATATCAGCCAGGACATTGTCACACAGGACACATTACATAACAGATAACAACATTGCAGGGAAACATATTTGGTAGAGGATGCTTCAGTGGGAATGGCCAATATGGGAAAGTCAAAGGGAAACAACAGCAGTAGGTTTAAAGTTGACTGTTCCTATTGTGTTCCCAAAAACACCTAAAGACTTGAGCTGAAAGAACTCTTCCTGTCTCCTCTGCTCAGATCCATTTCACTGTAGCATTTAAACACATACCTCAGACAGCTCAGACCAAAGAAATAACATAACATCCATTCCCAACCTAGGGTTGCCTGATATTCAAACAGCATTGCAAGAAAAAAAGATAAAAATAGAATTTTTATCATTAAATATTAAGGTCATTTTAGGAGTTCAGTTTTAAAGTTTTATTCAAATGAAAAACTATAAAATTGGGTTAAAAATGAATAGCTTGAATGATGAAAGGCAGAACTTCATGAACCTTGACCTTCACAAGACTGCAGGATGATAAAACTTAACGTCCAGCTTAGTTGAATATCGAGCATATATCTTAGAGATGTAAGAAGATATTGATACACTTGAGTATCATCGCATTTTGTTTTATGATATTGTATCGATTCTCAAAAACACAATCCACTTTTGTGTTTAAACCCCCAACTGCTAGATAGCAGTGTTGTAAGCATAAACTAAGGGGTGTTCTGGTTGCATAGAAAAGTTAACAAGTTAAGTTTTCCAAAAAGTATATATCTATGTCACCTTGCTTACTGTATAGTAATATATTGAATCATAACCCCTGTATTGTGATACGTATTGCAGATATTCCAGATTCTTGCCAATACACAGCCCCAGTGATGCTTGGGTAAATTATCAAACAGTTTGACTTGATTGAACCATTCCACTCTGATGCAATCTCTGTGGACCTGCCAATCAGTACCATCTGAGCTGCCATGCGATCGGGAGTTTTGGACTAGAACAAGGTTGGATTGCCCAAAGGTAAAACTGTATGCTTTAAATGATGAGATAGATCATGTGAGATGCATACCCTCCACTAGAACCAGGACTTGAATTAACATCAGTATCAACATATTTTGCCTAAGTAGCTTATCCTTTATTGTAGACTTAAATGTGCTTTTGTAAGTCTTCATTTAAACCCATTTAAAAATATCCTTTAGCAAAGAAATGTCTATTTTAGACAGCTAGCACAAGAACATATTAAGACCTAAAATTAGGGTTTAGAGCCAGAAAACACTAGGGATGTCTTCATATACAGTGGGAAGCACCTTAGGTCACTGTTCCAGGGAATATGTCCCAATTCCTGTTCCTGGAATAATTACATTCTAACATCTTTGTCTGTGTTACAGGATGCTCTCCTGCTTTGCTTCAAGCCTCAAGCTATAACGTCTTCCAATAAGAATGCAGTTAAAACGGCTCATTACCAGTTCTGCAAGGTAAACTAATAATATAGCATGTGTTTTAAAAGGACATGCATAGCCACTAGCTGTAGCTGGACATAAAACATGAAAAGGCAACATGTCATCACTCCCAACTGGTCAAAAACTGCAGCTTGGTCACCACTTCAAAATATGTTGAGTCGATCCTTTAGTGTCATTTCTGGATGTGCAGAGCTCAGATGACAAGTTTGCAAGAATAAATATGCCATGTTCAGGAGTTAATGTTGTGAATCTGTCACTGATTGTTTAGGTTTAGACACAAAACCTACTTGGTTAGGTTTAGGAAAAGATCATACTTAAATGGGCATAACTTAAGTAAAAAAGTCAAATTACAGCTAGGACACAGGCCAACCAGTGAAGTAACATTAAGCACTGTGAACAACAAAAAGACAACAGAGGAAACATAACAACAGTTATAAAGCTAGACCAAAGCAATGAAGACATAATAAATAAAACAAAGGGAAAAGAGCAAAGAGATCTGAGATCAGTGTAAGAGCCCAGAGCCAATAAACATTTGTGCTGATAGATGTCTTGTATTGTTTATTCACATTAAAGTTGTGTTGTTCCTGACTAATCGTCATTTTTTTATCTGTTATTGGACTATAGGGTTTCTGTAGGTTTAACAGGTTCAATTTAAGAATTTTAAGACATTCTAAAAGACCGTACTGAATACCACTTATTTCATGTCCATACTGGCAAAAAAAGTATAAAGGGTATGAAGGAAAATCCGTATTGTCCATTGTCCAAAGTGAATTTTAGTTCTGGTTTTATTTTACATGCGAACATATATTGAGTTGTCTATAATATTCACATGGAGGTGCTTTTCATAGGAAATACCATCAAGGGCAACATGAACAAACACAATTATATCTGAGGGAATAGAAGAGAGAGAACGAACAAATAGAAACAAGGTTAATGCTTTTAACATAGCGGTCTACTTTAGCTAACAAAAACCTTTGGCATGCATGTGAATGATACACTGTGATTGAAGATGAGAGGTTAGACCAAAGGAACCTTGTAAATGCACATTTTTAGAAGTGGTGATGAACAAAATCTGTGACAGACTTGTGAAAAAAGGAAGGAGAGGTGGGTTTTTGCTGTTGCTGTTTCACATGCTGGTAAATAACAGCTGCTAAGTAATATATTCCCATTTATATACAACTGCTACCGTACTAACTTTCTCCTGTTAGTCTACATAATTATTGTATTATTAGGTGTCAATGTGGGTCAGTGAAATAGTTTAGTTTAATGCTGATTGCTCATTTGTTACATTTGTTGCGCAAAGTTACAGATGCAAACAACAATAAGTACACATTACTATAATGTTAAAGGGTAACGTTGGTACTTTTGAACCTGTACCTTATTTTCACGTTTTTGAGTTGAAATGACTAATGTTTTTATGGAATTTAGAATTTGGTCCAGTACTGAGTGAGAGGAAAGCAGTATACGGTTAAGCAGGCAGACGACCACCCACCTAGAGCCGAGGGGTCTGTCCTAGGTTAAAAGGCAGTTTTTCCTTGCTCCCGTCGCCAAGGTCTTGCTCATGGTGGTACTGTTGGGTCTCTGTAAATAATGTTATAAAGAGTTCGGTCTAGACCTGCTCTATTTGAAAAGTGTCCTGAGATAACTTCTGTTATGAATTGGAAATCAAGTAACATTACTTTAATATTGTGATACTAGGATTAAGTTACTGGCTGCATGTTATAAAAGGTAATTAGTAATCAGATGAAATTTACAAAATTCAAAGTAACACTCCAACCCTGTGGATAAGAGTATAACCTGAAGAGCGGACTTCTCAGAAGACTGGTGGTGTACCTGTTGGTTCTTTTACCCTATGCCCATAGAGGAGATTTTACACACAAGTTCAAGTGAAAGGTACCAGAAATATTAACATTTTTACTAGGGTTCTATTCATAATGTTCTCAGACACTTATAATGACAAACTGAGCCAGTCAGTGGACGTATTTGACAGTGCAGCGCTCTCACTCAGTACTGGATCAAATTCAAAACTCGTCCCCATTCACTTTGACACAAAAACATGGAAAACAAAGTCTAGGGTGGAAAATACCAAAGTCACCCTTTAATGTTTTTAGGTAGTTAGTCCCATTATAAATGAAGATGTGCTTTTTGTATAGGGTAGAATCTGGGAAAAGCAAATGCAAGATGCAATGTGATGATTAGAAAGAAATAAAAAATTGTGCCTTTGAACCATGCAGTTCCTGTCTGAATTTAAAAAGAGAGCATGTTTACCATGACCCGGAGACACTATGGAAGAAACATTCAACAGGAAGAGAAACAGTGTTACAATGTCAATGCTGTCATAGTAAGACACTGAATACACACACATTCAGAACCATTAACAACAGAGGGGTGTACATGGTGAATGATCAGTGAAGTCAGAGGTGATAAAAAAAAGAAAATGAAAGCATCATCAAGCTATTAGAACAATCAGCATCACGTACCTTGGGTCATTCCACTCCCCACGTTGTCAGTGGGGCTGAAGCCATTCTGGGTGGTCTGGGTGCACAGGTCCACCATCTGGTGGAGGCGGAGCTTGCGGCAGTAGATTGACGCGGCCTCTGGTTCTAAGGCGATGATCAGCTGTTCTGGGTTTTCACGGGACACCAGAGCAGACTGCAAAAGGACAGAATACAGACAGGAAAATACACTTTAACCAACTTTGCTTACTTCTAAAATATGATAACGTTTTCTTCACCATATCATGCAGCCCTATTTGGGACATTACATGTTCAGGGTTGTGTGATAAGAAAAGTGATGCAGTGTGAACAACACAGTGGCACCTGTGTTCATGCTGACTGTGTTGTCCACTAAGAGAGATATAGAGGTCCTGCAGTCACATTCTCTAACTGCCAACATTATTCCCACAGTGCACATACACTGAGAATGGACATTTCAGTGAAGTGGGAGACTATTTGTATATACCGTTATGTCTTAATACATGTCTGTCTGTCTGTCTGTCTGTCTGTCTCTCTCTCTCTCTCTCTCACCCCAACTGGTCGAGACAGACGACCACCCACCTAGAGCCGGAGGATCTGTCCTAGGTTTCTGCCTTTTAACAGGCAGTTTTTCCTTGCCCTTGTCGCCAAGGTCTTGCTCATGGTGGTACTGTTGGGTCTCTGTAATTAATGTTATAAGGAGTTCGGTCTAGACCTGCTCTATTTGAAAAGTGTCCTGAGATAACTTCTGTTATGAATTGGCGCTATACAAATAAAATTGAATTGAATTGAATTGAATCTTTAAAAAATGTTGTTTCAATCTGAACTAAGGTATAGTATTCACATAATCTCATTACCATGTTAATTCACCCAGAAGTAAAGTTAATCACACAGAAAGCCAAAAATGTGTCATAAGGGTCACAGATAATAAACCGTAAGCCGTAATTCAGCGTTCTGATTAATAGCTGCTGTTGAGGTGCGTGGTATTAGGGATGGATCAGAGGAAAAAGGGGTGAATAAAGTGCAGGAGAAAAGACTGTGGGTTGTGTCAGGGCCCCAGGAGAACTAACGGATGATGTGATCAGAGGAGGAGGAGGAGGAGGAGTGGTTACAGTGTGCTGCTGTTCGTTCATTTTCTCCCTCTCTGTCCTCCACGAACAGCCAATCAAAACAGATCACATCTACGCTGCCTGATGCTGAGTCACTGCCAACGCCCAGCTTTCTCTCTACCTCGTGTTACACTTAGCTCGTCCTTCCATCGCTGCCTCCAGCAACACTGCAGATAACAGCTGAAAGCTCTCCTCCTTTTCTCTGTTTCTGTATCTCCATTCCCCTTCCTCTCCTCATCTTTTTCTTTTAGCACGCGCACCAGGGACGTGATCAGAACAGAATATCATTGGGCATGACAGCAGCAAAACAGCAGAAATCTTAACTAAAATTACTACCCCGTGGCTGTTTACATCCATGCCTGTCCAGACTCATAATATATATGTGGAAAATACTTGGAAAGGGTTGAATAAAAAGATATAAAAGTGTATGGCACATAATTATATATATGATTCCAGTGAATATACATGTTTGAACTGAATAATGAAGGATTATAATAGATGTATTGTCTAAACAGGTACACATGTACTTGATTACTATGTAAAGATGGATACTTATAGAGTATAGCTATATAAATGTGGTGCTTTTGTTTTTTCCTGGTCTCTATGAGCACTCACTCACTCACTCACTCACTCACTCACTCACTCACTCACTCACTATTAGCTAGTCAGGCTCCAATATGTTTTTTGCAGTCAGGTGAAATTCAGAATTAGTGTGCGCGCGCAGTTTGATTGACATATAACACAGCATTGTGATGACAGCCTTCCCTGCTTTCTTCACAGCCACTAGATAAAAGCCAGATTTTAGAAAAGCATCTGTCCTGCGTTGGTTTTACTTTTGAAAAAATAAATATGTGGGACGCATGATAAGGGATAAATGCTCTGCCTACCAACCAATATCTCTAAAGCTTAATAACTAATATATCATATCTTCTTAGTCAAAAGTCAAACGCTTTTACAGAAATGTAAAAATAACTATTTGTAGTTTTAGGCTGGATAAAAGGATATTAGGATATTATTATTCTTTTAAGCCCTTAAATTTGTATATTTCTACTTTTAGTCTCTTTCCCAAATGTGAATGATTTCTGGCAACAATAAACATTTTCCATGGGCAGATAAGTACATTTTATATTGTTTGCCAGCCTTTTCTTCAAGCCATTTATGGCTGAGTTAATAAATGATGCACTCACATCTCTGAACCACACAGTACAGTGGTTAAATGAGGGAGACCCAAATCCAAAGGGCATAAATGCAAAAGTAGCTGGATATGGTCATTCTAACTGGCAAACATTTTCCATGTGCAATTACAAACAAACGACAGCAATAGCAGCATGAATTTGATTTTTATGATGACAGAACTGGTGGAACTGTCATATATGGATTTTATTTATTTTTTATTTAGCCTATATTTGACAACACAACTCCTGGATGCCTATTTAATGAAGGGCATGGGATAATATACCTTTCAATGTCAGGGGTTCAGCAGTCAGCATGAACAGGTGGTATTCATATTTATTCATGTTCATGCAGAACTCAATTACAGCAGTTTTCTAATGTATTGGAATCAAATATTATCATATGGCTCTCACTGTTAAAGAGAGAACTAAAGAGAAAGAAAAAGGCTTGTACGCCATTCAGGTTGAAATTACAATAAAGCATTGAGGGCATGTACAAGTGAGATTCATCAATCCCCTCTCTCAGAAAATTCACATCACTAACACAATCACATACACATGTACACACTGCTTCCCCCACCCATGAGAGCTGTCCTCTATCTCTCCTCTGTCCTCCTCCAGCCCCATCCCTCTTTCTTTACTACAGACAGCCACACCCAGGTGTCCACATTCAGTGATGGTCTGAAGATACTTACAAAAAAAAGATTGTAAGTTACATTAAGTACTTGACGTAACTTAGGTACATTATGTTAACTTACGTGCGTACAATTTTCCTTTTGGTATGGACATGAACAGTGGCCTCCTGGGTTAAAGTCCTGTATCTATTTGGGCCATCAATCCACCACCACCTCCATATGTGGACTTTGCCACTCTTTTTAAGGCACATCCAGAAATTACATTAGATGGGTACCTACGTTATATTTTGAAGGGCAACGACCAAGTGGCAGTATTACAGTATCACGACTTGGGAGTGAGACGTGTAGTATATTGTGTATATAATTGATTAGTACGTTAGTTAGTGTGAAATACACACTCCAAATTAACCCAGACAGTCAGTGGTGGAGCTAACCTCCTCCTGACCATATTTTGAAAATCACTGAGTGAGAACATTTAATAATCCTTTGCCTACATACTATAATATATCTTTTGCAGGGTTAGTTTATAGAATTGCAAATCACCCCATATGAGTCCTCTGAGGGCTAAACACTATTTGTGACCCTCTGTTACCTACTTATACTGAAGATTGGAAACTTCATATGAGGTGCTACAAGGTTCTGTCCTGGGTGCACTATTTTCCAGTCTTTGTTGACTCATAGTCATCATCTGTATAACTATTTATGTCTGCTGACTCTCATCACCTGAACCCTCTTCAAGATTTTCAAACCTGCATCTCTAACAAAAAAATTGGATGACCCAAAATGTCAAAAGAGCAAAGAGAGCCACTGCCTACAATTTATTATACATTACCATGGATAATGATCCAACCTTTCTGCATATAAGGAACATAACTACACAACTAGACCAGTTAGATTTAGGATACATTTTAAGATTCTTGTACCGGTTTATAAAAGTATTTTGAGACTTGCTGCAAAGATATTGTGCCCCTTTATGACAAGCATCTTCCCACTGAAAATACAAGATCAGGCAAAAAACAGCTTTACTTTCTCATAACATACAGCAATATTCTCCAAGTCTCTAGTATACTGGATTTTCCATCCAGTATTAGTGTTGTGATGACAAAATAGTTTTTCCGCAGTAATGAGAAAATGAGAAAAACACTTGCAAGGGCCATGCAAGATGTATTTACATTTGTAGCACCACAGATCCACCACCTTTCACATTGTTTAAATTGTGTAATATGCCTTTTCCATTGCTGTTGAGCTTATTATCTTATCTTATTTTGTGATTGTTTCAAGGTGGTTATGTTCTAAAGCACTTGCACACAATCCTGCAGAAGGTGCGCTTTGCCTGATTTTGTGCCGAAGCTGCATTGTCTGCTGTGTGTGACTCAACCCGCCCTCTGTCAAACGGACTCCACAGTCTCCGTCTCCACACTTGGTTTAAGTGCTGTGGCAGAGGACAGAGGCAGAGACAGAGGCAGAGATAGAGATCTGCTCCCTTTGACCTCAGACTATATATTCTATTTTTAGGAAAATCCCACCTAGTATGCCTTTAAGGTTAACTGCAGTATGGAGGGTTTATTATTGTGTTTTTCTTTCACTCGTGGTAGTCATCCTTACTTCCATCTTTTCTCTGTGTCTCCTTGTGTCTCTATATTGATGAATGTCTGGCTCCCTCTATGTCCTCTACCACAGTGCATAGGTCACTGTCGGTGTGTATGGCAGTCTCGTTTGACTGTGAGGCACTGCAGCAGCCCTGAGTATGCCCTCTCTCCCTCTATCTATAGAGAATGTTTTAACACAGACATTATTTTACATAGCCTTCACCATTAGATCCTGTCCTCAGCCATTCTCAGTATATTGTTACAATGACCTCCAAGATTTAGAGGACATGATATAACCAGTCATTTGCAAACTGGTTCAAACTAGAAATGCAACTGGAAAAAAATGTTAGTGTAGAAATGTGAATGAAGCTTTTTAGCCTACCTTATAGGCAGCTTCCCTCATGAACTGTTTTGCAGGCATTTTCCAGATGGCAGGAACAGTGATTACCCATCTCACATCATTGTTGTCAAAATCGCCGCCTGTCTGATCACTCAGCTCCTGCAGAAGAAAAAGTCAAACACAACCAACAGACAGAATTATAGTGATTTATGGTTTATGCTTGTCCTTTACTATTCATCTCCCTTTGATGAACTGCATGTTCCTGAGCTATTCATTATGTCACAAGGTATCAGCTAGTCAGATATATATTTTTGAATACAAAAGAAGATCCAAGTGTTGACAGAGGTATGTTACCTTTAATGCTTGCTCCTTAAAAAAGGCCAATGCATATGCAAAGATATCCAGAGCTTTCACTCGCTTCCCATTGGCTGCGTGGAGGTCTGTGTCGATGGACAGATTCTGATTACAGGGAGAAGACATCAAAGTTAGAGCTGCATAAGAACATACAATCAAAACACTGTAGTCGTACATAGACTTAGTCATCATATGAAGAGAGGATATGAGGTCTAGATTTCCAGTTATATGTGGAATCTTTTATACTGTTGATATGTTACACTGCTCAGTATACTCGTTTTCTTCCTAGTGGCAGGGCCTAAAGATGTTGATTTGTCGACAGTTGTCGTCAATTGAACATTTCTCAGTCCTTTTTGCTCAAATAACAGTTGATAGAAAGCCTTGGTCAGATCCTCAGTTAACTTTCTCCTTTCCTTTACTTACATATGCTATGTTGAAAAGACAATCCCATTTTGAAGACGGTTAAAAATATAAAGGTGACATACATCAATCAGCCATAACAAACCTGGGCACCCTGGTTCTCATAATGTTCTGCAGCCCCATACCAACACACTGCTCTGCACTGTGTATTCTGACCCCTTTCTATCAGAACCAGCATTAACTGTTTCTGCAGTTTGAGCTACAGTAGCTCGTCTGTTGGATCAGACTGCAGGGGCCGGCCTTCACTCCCCACGTGCATCAAGAGCTGCAGTTTTGTTCACTTGCTTCCTCATATATCTCACCCACTACTCATAATGTTATGGCTGATTGGTGTATATCGTGTCGTTTACATCATTGTCATTAACTGACAATGATGTAAGTTATCTACTTAAAATTAGCTTTCACATGTAAAGCTAGTTAACGATTTAACAATTAGCAAGCGGTTTCCTTACATTAGCTAGATAACATAAGATATTGGCCTATGTTGCTTTAATCTGTTAACCATCTTCAAAATGTGGCTGTCTTTTCAACACAGACAAGCTTAGCAGATAGCATATCTAAGTACAGGAAGGCTCAATTACTATTGAAGCACAAAGCAAAAGGGGCGGGACAGAGGAAGGGTCAGTTAAATAACTGGTCCAACTTAAGTCAAAATATGTCAACAGCCAGCAGCCAGACTGCCATAAAATGTTCATGGTCACCAGACGATACTTCCTAATGGTTCTGGTGAACCAGTGAACTTCCCTCTAGCTCCACCATCAAGCTTAAGGATAACTGGTAACTCAGTAATTTCCATTAACTACAATGTGTGTGTGTTCATGGTTATGAAGAAACATGGGAGGAATAAGATATATCATGCTTTTGACAAAGAAAAATACTTGCTAGTAGGACTAATAAATTGTAGGTTTGGGTCTGCACATAAGATTTGTTGACAATGAGATAAACAGAGAATATTAATCCTTTAATCAGTCAGTTTTGCTCAGAAAACATTTTATAAGAAGACATTATAAAAAGGATGAAATACTGAACTTTGCTAACCCTAAGTTTATTCTGTCATGGTGGTGTGTGTTATAATTACTACCACAATAAGATGTTGATTGTGATCTCTGAAAATGATTACTAGGCCAGCTCGGGGTTTTAATAAAAGACCGGTATAAACAGGCTAACATAGTGCTCTAATACTGCTAACATGTCTGATTAAAACACCCCAGCAGACAGGCTGGAGTGTCAGGCCGCTGTTTCCATTTTTACATGATATAGTAGGGTAAAATCAAGTGTTACCAATGATACTAATTAAGGTCCTGTTCGTTTAATGTAGCAGAGCCTTTCCAGTGAACAAACATGCACAATAGCAGCACGGTGACTGGAACAGAACCTTAGTTAGGATCATTGGTAACACCTACTTGGAATGGTTGCTAGAACAGTGAGCTGGAGAGCTGCTATGCATTTGTTCAATGTGTTTGTGTCCTTACTGCAGTGGTGTGGAGCTTCATTTTGAATTTTTCCAGGTAGAGCCAGTGTTTGGACTCGCTGGGGTCCAGGTCATGGTAGAAGTCCCGTGCAGCGTAGCCAAAACTGTGGAACTTCCTGTCTGGAGTCAGCAGGATGGTGGTTGGAGTCTTCTGATTGGACACACCAGGGTCCCCGCCTTCCCAACGCCTGGGAGGACACAAGTCAGATATAAGTACATGTACTATTAATCAGTCAATCAATCAATTCAATGTATTGTCCTCCAAGGGGGAAATTAATGTCCACATCACTGCACCATACTAACACCATACACTCAACAAAGAAACACGCCATCCACAATTAACAAATCCACAAAGAAAAACAAACAAACAAACAATCAAATAAACACACTCCGCGCGTCCCTTTGTTTAGAGCAGCAATAGCTGCAGGGATCAGGCCATTAATCTGTATTTTAATCAAATATGGAAGTTTCAGCACGTTGAATGTCTGCTAAATAATTATTTTCCAGGTGAAGGCACCATTTGCTCTTTAGGGACTTTCCATCAATTGCTCATGCAATTAGGTATCTATTACAAGCTACATGCATAGTGAAAAGACAGTGAATTTAAGTTCATGCTTTTATGTAACATTCACAGTTAATTTGTACACTTCTATGAGATTTATATTAGTCTTTAAATTCTGTCAGAAAAGCCACATGAACTTATCTTCTAGGCTAATTGAGCGACCACAGTATTTTTGTACAGATGGAGGTCAGCTATTATTAGTGTTATCTCTGTTCCTTGGGAGAGGAGTATGATGGGATTATGGAGGCCATTTCACTAAGAGCACCTGAAGTGAAGAGGAACTAATTTGTGAGATCTGGGTAAAACTGGATTGAACTGCTTTTAGTTTGGTGGGATATCTGAATTTCATTTGAATTTAATAGGAAATTACAACAATTTGATGGTGTTTTTTGTGACTGATTTACTGTGCTGTTCTGTAAGAGTAGTCCAGAAATTCTGTTTTATTGATTCTGAAACCCAGTGCTTATAGCTATTTCTTTATTTTTTAGTCTGTCCAGTAAATGTGACTATCATGGCTAATGCAAACTATACTTTTCCTGGATTTATTTAATGTAAAATGCATCTGCTGAAGAATATACAAGACATAATCCTAATTGTGTGTTATGTGGCCAAAAGTGGCAATGTATATATATAACCATAGAAGTGTCATTAAGTCAGCAATATGAATCCATAACATCAAGACCCTGAAAGTATTAAATGTAAGAGGTGGGTTTTTAGTGTTTATGGATACAACCTTTAATGCGCAAGTGAAATATTATTTCTTCTTTCAAAAGATTAATAGTCTTGCTTTGTCATTATTAAAAATACCTTTAATAAACAATCTAATCTGTGAAATCTATCCAATTAAGTAGGGGTGAGTATTGGCAAGAGTCTCACGATACGTATCACGATACTTTGGTCACAATACGATATACACATATAATTGGAAATCTATACGATATTGTGATATAAATAGGGATGAAAACACAAGTACCTGTATATGCACATCAGATGATATTGATCAGAGGACAAATTGAGTCAAAGCTATTTCATTCAAAACAGCCTCTCCATTTTATTAATTTATTAATTATTAATTTCCTTTTAATAATTTCACAGAACATGGACGCTACCAGTGCAGCAGCTGTGTTATTATTGCTTGTGGCTCATCTAAACAAGCTCAATGTGAAATAATAACGCTTTTCTACAGAAACACTAACATTTCAAGTAATTCCGTTATCGCAAGTCTTACATTTCAATAATTTTTTGCCATTTTTGCCTATTTCAATTTCAACAAGTGCTGTGTTGTGCGTGCAATACAATGTAAAGTTTTGTTTTCGAGCTGGTTTGCTAAATAGGCTAATGTAGCTAACAATAACACTAGCCTGCTACTGCCCCTGGTGGCTCGAGACAAACGCCACAGCACTTGTTGAAATAGGCAAAAATGGCAAAATATTATTGAAATGTGAGACTTGCAATAACGGAATTACTTGAAATGTTAGTGTTTCTGTAGAAAAACATGTTATTTCACATTGAGCTTGTTTAGATGATCCACAAACAATAACAACACAGCCGCTGCACTGGTGGCGTCCATGTTCTTTCCGACTTGTAATGCCCGAAGACAAATGGAACGCTATAAGTGGTACAAGCCAGGCAAGCACAGCAGAGTCGCTCTTCGGCGCCATCTACCGGAGTGGAGGTCCGGACGTCGTACTGTATTCACATTGCGTCTAAACAAGATTCATTATTCTTTAAAAAAATCCATCTTTGGAGTTGAAAAATCGATATTGTATCGGGCGGCAAAGTAGCGCGATATATTGCCGTATCAATATTTTTACCCACCCCTACAATTAAGTCATCTTGATTTACCGTATATGGCCATAATACAAGTATATCACAGTATATCTAACATTCATTTGATCAAATTAATCAAAAATACATCTAAGAAGTGCAAAACAAGCACACAATAAACTAGGTATGTAATGAGAAAGAAAGACAGTTGTTGCTAAAACTTGATGGTACTTGTTTTTCATTTACCAAGATGCAGCAATTCTTCTGGACTTGACGGCTCAGCATATACGCCTATTTTCTAGTCTGCCATTAAATGCCATAAGAGGAAGAAAAACACGATGAAGAAAACCAGCTGTGCAGGTGATTTACTTGCAAAGCAAAACAAGATTACAGAGAGTTTGTTAAGCTATTTTATAACCTACTCTGTAGTAGTATTGGATCAGGACTCTGTCTATATATAAAATGGGGATCAGGGGCAAAAACTACAAAAAAAAAAAACTACTAGCAAGTACTGTGTAAGATAAGAGAAAACAGTCTTTATTGAACCCACATTGGGAAATGTCCTGTGTAAATGGTAAATGGACCTGTACTTGTATAGCGTATTCGGACCACTCAAAGCACTTTCACACTAACGCTAAGCCTTAACGCATTCATACACCAATGCACAGCATCGGGATTGGGGTTCAGTATCTTGCTCAATGATACTTTGAACCAACAACCTTCCGATTAGGGGACGACCCACTCTGCCTCTGAGCCACAGCCACGTGTGTGTATCAAAGCCTGATATATCTTCTTCCTCTGTGCTATAGAGCTCCATTGTTGTTCAAACAGGTAGTTCATCAGGTCAGCTTTTCCCTAAACACCAAAACTAGGTTATGCTAGCTAAGTTATGTGAGAAATTAGTAGTTTGTTAAACAGCTAAGAAATAAATAGCTGGCTGGCCACAAGGCACCCCAGCCCCTGATGTAAGTGGTTCTTGGTCCTATAGCAGCCGGTCTACAACCAGTTTTCCTGGCCAAGAACTGGTATTCTGGCTGTTGAAACATGAAGAACTGGTTTCAGATTTGGCACCAGCTCTGAACCAGCCCTCAAACTGCCTGGGTGGAAAAAAGGGCAGCATACGTTAGTAAAGCCTAGTCTCACATCACCCTGACCAGAAGTCTGCTCCATCTCACTAAAGCATGCACTGAATGGCTCTGGCCTGGCAATAACGAATGCATTTTACTGTGAGAAGGCCAACTGAAGGTTAAAATCTTTTTAAATAATTTATTCCAACTAATATTTGAGAACTGCATCTCTGTGAGGAAGTAGTGAAGTGATGGTAAAAGGATCTTCCATCTCTAAAAAGCTGTCCTCGGACTGTGTCTCTATATTTGAGGGGATGATGGCGGGGGGTCCCTCACAACAAGTGAGGACAGATGATGAATGCTAATGTTCAGTCTATAGGGCAAAGAATGTCGCATACTGGCGCACCAGACACCCCCACCCTTCTGACAGCTTTTCAACAATTCCTTGCTAGAAACTAAAAACCTCTTCCCTGACACAACACAGGCAGCCTCTGTCCAGCCTTTGTTTGGGTAAGGATTTCACCGAAGGAGGGTTTCACCCAAACTAGATATTTAGGGCGATCTGGAGCCGTTTCCACTGCAAATCTAGTAGCACTGAGTGAAAATATCTGATTATCTGATGGTTAGAGTTAATGGGGAAGGGAGAATTGCTAAGGCAAACCCATGGATCTATGTCTTTTTTTAAAATCATAAAATGTTTAAGGTTCCAGGTTCCTGAAGGGGGTCTGGAAGTCTGGAATGAAGTGCAAAGCAATGTCTGACTTTGAAATAGTCCGGGTGGTCACAGTCTAAAGCAGTGATACTCAACTTAAGGCCAAAGACGCCGACCATTTTCATATGAACATAAACTGATTCACACTGGTAATTTGGTTTGTTTATACCAATTAGAAAATCCTGATTAATGTCCCTTGGGCGCAAGTTTAACATAACAACTATCATACTGCTATCAGTGATGTGTGCAGTTTGCAGAAACAGTGTCACTTGATTGGTTGAATGGTTTGCAATGAAAAAAGGCAATTCAATGAAAAATGGGTAGAAAAATGTAGCTTTATTTTGCCACCTCATACCCTAAAGCAGTGGTTCCCAAAAGACCCCTTTTTTATTATTCAGTTAACAACCCCTGACTGAAATATTAAATGGAGATTTAATATTATATTCAATGTATAACAATAACAGTAGAGAACAACTATTAAACTGTACAATGAACCCAAACAGTGAACACAATAACTGCAAGAAGTTTGTCTAAAACAAGCGATTTGGATGAATTATTTCCTGTGAATATTGCATCAGAGATGAGATTGCCTAACATTTTTAGGAATGTTTTATACAACTCTTTGTTTGTATTATGTATTTTTTTTGTCATTTAAACCTAATAGGCTTCTTTTTTGACACATCCACTGTTTTCTTCTCCCAGATGCTCGGCCATGGTTCTATTAGCTCTTTGGTGGTTTTAACTGCATAGTTTTCTAATGCAGGACAAGACTGTTTATCAGAGAGTCAAGGCTCTGTGAATACAAAGTTTAGATCTTAAATAATAATCAAAACTTTAAAAATAACTATTTCATTAAGTTTTCTTCAAAGAAATTCGGAAATGAAGCTTTGGCGACTCCCAAGTTGCCCTAAAAAAAAGGTTTAATTTGCCAAACAACTAATAATCTGTAAGCAAGGTTGCTAATTTCAGGCACCATCAAAAGTCAAAACATGCTAGCTTCAGTGCAGTGTTCCTGCCTGGTAGCACCACAAGAGGACCTTAACCTTTATTGACCCAGACAAATCATTAAGAACAAATTCCTATTTATGATAATGGTCTGGCAAAAGGCAATCGTAATGTCTATTCATTCTATTTGATAAGTATCAATAAGATTTGTCTATTGACTGGCGCCCGGGCCTCCTGTCATTTTGCAAAAGTGCCCCCTGGGAAAAGCTAGTTGAGTATACTTGGTCTAAAGCGTTGTTTGCAATAGCAGTTCATTTTCACATAAAAGGTTCATCCCACTTTGCACACTTTGAATCTGCTGTAGGCAGGATGGAGGATGGACATACAAGGCATGGAGTGTAACATAGCCTAAGTCATTGGATAAAAAAATCTAATTCAAACATTTTGTGTTTTGTTGCAGCTCTACCTCCTGAGGGCAGCTGTGGCTCAGGAGGTAAAGCGGGTTGTCCACTAATCAGAAGGTTGGCAAATTAATGAATTTTGTTTGTGATGGCCATGGTTGGAAGTGTAGAAAGGCGCTATAAAGGGCGACATGTGGCTCAGAGGCAGAGCGGATCGTTCCTTAATCGGAAGGTTGTGGGTTTGATCCCCGGCTCCTGGTGCCACATGTCGAAGTATCCTTAAGCAAGATAGTGAACCCCAAATTGCTCCTGATGCCGTGCATCGGTGTGTAAATGTGTATGAATGTTAGTTTCTGTTCGATGGACTTTGCCATCGCTGAGTGAATGTGTGTGAAAGGGTGAATGTCTCACGTAGTGTAAAAGCGCTTTGAGTGGTCGGAAGACTAGAAAGGCGCTATACAAGTACAGGTCCATTTACCATTTACCATGGTTTAGCAGGTAAACACATTAGCTGCAGGTTGGCCCCCATTTATCCGGATCCAGTACCAGCATTGCTTACACTGCTTGAATAGATTAGAAAGATTTAAGGACACGTATGGATTGCAACACTGTGAATACCAACGGTGCAGCTCTACAGAGCAATACCAGGAATGTGAAGAATCACTCAGAAACTAAACACCTGCCAGCCTGTGGTGAGATGGAAGCTGTCAACCCCTATGGCGCCTGGCAATAAGAGCAGCAGAGCTGACCTGAGGAACATGGGACTCATGGGCTTCTTTCACTGCTAACAACTGTCAGCACTAGACAGAGGGATGGAGGCCTTGATGAAACCTTGTTACTTTTGATTTAACATACCATAAAACTTCCAATAAAAGCAGGGTCCATTATAGACGCAGGTCTCATTTAAAAGCCTGGTGTGGCTACACATTTTGACAAATAAACGCAGGTCTCCAATAGAGGCCTGGTCTGGATTTTATAGAAATTATCTCAATGTATGAAACCTCTTTAAACCCACTCGCTTGAGCGAGTTTTAAGTCATTTCAATCTGCTACACAAATATAAATGTTTAAACTTCTGTCAATATGTACGTGCTGCACATTATTAGATCAGTTATAGATTCTCCACAATTCAATCTTTCACTATATTTTACGAAAACGATCAACAACAAAGTATAACGTTAATTCATTCTGACTTACCGGTAACATGGTAAACAAGAGAGAAGGAAAAAAACCTCTGAAGCGATCATAATCATCATGTTAGTTGTCAAATTTGCTGAACAAAATCTCAAGAGAGGCAGCTGTTAGAGTTTAGTTTAGTTTTGTGCTAAAGGAATCAAACGCCTGTCCCAAATAGACGCCTGTCCCAGATAAAGGCAGGGGGAGTTCAGTGATTTAAGCAAATAAACACCCGGGCTATTATTAGAAGTTTTATGGTACTCAAAGCCTGTGACTAAGCATAATAAAAATATCTCACTTCAGGCACACTGTACCCACCTCTTATATTAAACAATGTTAAATTAGAATCTAAAATTTTTCATATGGGTCTGTCAAATGGGATATCTGTGTTCAAATATGTGACGTTTTTGGAAACTCCTGTATTACAGTAAATACAAGCTTAGCCTTTTATTACAACCTGCTGTGCATTGTAGTCTAGACACATAGTAAGCACAGGTCAAAAAATAAACAATATTAAAGTGGTATCATTACTGCAATAATGGTTAGGAATGACATGATCAGGACTGGCTATCATTCTGAATTCTTTTGTTCTTTTGGTAATATGATACCTGGTTCAAAAAACATCCCCCAAACAGTCCTTTAGATTTCAGTCTAACCTTGCAACTTTCTGACACAAACAGGTGATCTGTAGCATAATACAGTGCATGATTCAATTAATTATTTTTAAAAGATTTAATAATTAACTATGATGAACAGTACAGTGGCTCAGTGGTAAGCACTGTTGGCTCATAGGATGAAGTTTCTGGGTTCGATTCCCGGCTGGCCTTGCTGTGTAGAGTCTGCCTGTTTTCTCCATGTTTCCGTGGGCTTCCTCCGGGTGCTCCGCATTTCCCCCCCACCATACAGTAAGTGAGGTCCAATCAGTGCCCTTGACCAAGGTACTGGCCCAGATCTGGAGCTGGTTTCAGGTGCCACACGGTGGCTACCTGCAGCTCCTAGTACTTAGGATTACTTTTATAACTTAGATAATCAATTAATCATCACAGTATTTGACTTGTGGGCGGCTGTGGCTCAGAGGCAGAGCAGGTCGTTCCTTAAACAAAAGGTTGTAGGTTTGATCCCCGGCTCCTGGTGCCACATGTCGAAGTATCCTTAAGCAAGATACTGAACCCCAAATTGCTCCCGATGCCGTGCACCGGTGTGTGAATGAGTATGAATGTTAGTTTCTGTTCGATGGACGATCACTGTGTGAATGTGTGTGAAAAGGTGAATGTGGCACGTAGTGTAAAAGCGCTTTGAGTGGTCAGAAGACTAGAAAGGCGCTATACAAGTACAGGTCCATTTACCATTTACTTAAGAATCACAATGTATAATTAATATTGTGTTCACAGTATCAGTGTGATCTGCATTATGGCTGACAATTGGCATAATAACTAGTAAAATTTAGTATCTGAAAAGGAAAAGCTACCTTAGGATGTTTATGTAGGTCACTGTAACATCACCTTGATCACCTTGCTTTGAAAAGACATTCTGTGGCATCCAACTTTAATATGTTTTTCTCATTTATTGGGTCACCTAATTCTGACACTGTTTTCATCTGCTGATTTCTAACAGTTGGACTCACAGCTCAGTGGTATGACTTTCTTCTATTGTTTGTACATTTTTTGTACATGAAATGGAGTGGGACAGGTTGCCTTTTATAACAGTTTAGCTGCATCAATTATGCTATTTATGTACAGGTGGTATCTATCACCATCAAAGAAAACATTTATCATAGGTTAGTGCTGTTAAGAGGGTTTGCTGAATCTAATTTTAAACACTTACATGAGCAAGAAAGAAGTAAGCCTCTTAAAGCCTTAAAGCATGAGACCCAATAACTCAGCCAATGAGATTATTTCAGGAGCAGCTCTGCATCTGAACAATACTTCAGTCTGCCTCGTATTCATTATAACAGAGGATTGGACATCATACCTACAGAGCAAATCATCCCAAGTGAAAGTCACAACAAAAAATGATCAAAAGTGATTACCACCTATTGCTAATAAATGTAATCCTAAACCAGTATAAACAAATATAAGACACTGTTTGTTCAGGCCCAGTGGATTCTTGCAAATGTCATTAGGAGCACTAGGAGGAGCCAGAGGAACCTGATTGTTTTACAGATTATCTGTCTCATGTTCTACTGTCAGGATATAGTGAAAGTTTTAGCAAATATGACAAAAAGTTATTCTTATACAAGTTACCTACTGCAGCTTAAAAGGTCCAGCAAGACAATTTAGGAGGCTCTATTATGAGAAATGGAATATAATATTCATAGCTATGTTTTCATTAATGTATAATTACCTTAGAATGAGCAGTTTTTATCTAAAGAGGGAGCGGGTCCTCTTCTACAGAGTCTGCCATGTTGAACCATTATGTTCCTACAGTAGCCCAGAATGGACAAACCAAACACTGGCTCTAGATAGGGCCTTTCATGTTTTTCACAGCCACCATAGTTTCTCCTACACACTTGGAGCCTTAAATCACTTGAAGGTGCCATTTGCTGCTTCTGAAAGCTTAGCGTCAAGTCTTAAGTGTTTTTTAATAAAGTTAACATTAATGATTAAGGGTGCTCTGATCAGCATTTCTGGAGCTGATCACCAATCGCTGGGTCTATTTAAAGCCATCTGTTTATCATGTAGCCTTATTTATTTAATTATTCAAGAACAACTTAATTGATTAGCTCTTCTCATCTGCTTTTATAGAGATCGCCAGTCAAACTAATCAGAGCAAATAGCCAATAACGACTGATGGGCAATCTTTAGGATTATTTAATAAATAAACCACAATTTAACAAAAAAACATCTTATGATATTATTTATTGACAGTTCAAAACTCAAACTCTCAGGTCTGCCGTGTGGGTGTGGTTTGATCTGACTTAAAGATTATATATATATATATATATATATATATATATATATAATATATGCAAAATTCACTTCATAAAATAAAACTCTTTGTAAGTCTTTCCACTGTCTCCAACGATCACAAAGTGTTTATTTTACGGTTTGCTCAAAATAAAACCTTAATTCATCAAGTTAGCTGTGAAAATATGTGTGAAGGCCTGCAATGCAATGTAAGCTAACGTTAATCTCTGGGTACAAATGTGCCCATTGCAGTACATCCACTAACAGTGCTCGTCTTTGCCACTGACAGGCTCATGTTCATGCTCATCATCACAGTCAGAAGCTCACTGAGATTTTAATTTGACAAATCCATTCAAAAAATCTGTTGGGTTGCAGATATTTTTGTTTGGTATTTTTAAGAGTGACTCTAGGCTCATTTTATTCTGCCTATGTGAGTCATGCACTGTGTTCAAAGCAGGTGGGCCACTATCTGCAAAATAATTGTTGATGTAGCTCCACGCCACCCCCACACTTCTCGTCAGTGAGTGTCTGCATTGCAGTGCTGGCCTACCTCATAGTGTGAATGCACTCTGGCTCCTTAGTGAAGGCGTAAGCATAACCGCTGGAAGTGGTGCCAAAGTCAATGGCAACCACCACCACAAACGACTGCCCAGATGGGACCTGGTCTGTGTCGTTCTGCTGTGCAGAGAGAATACACAGTTGGACAAGGTTAGGGCATGTGGTGACATATGATGAGACTGACTCATTATCTTCAACAAGAGACAGAACACACACAAGCAATTTAAGCTGTTACAAACCCATTCACCTTCACAACAGCAACAGTTCAAAAGCAATCACAGGAGAACAACAATTGATCAAGATCAATCACATCAATAATTTGAAAATAACAAACTATCATCACTACTTAACAGACATGAACACACACACACAGCAGCACTGAATAGCTACCACTCACTTCTGCATGCCAGGCACATGGTATTGAAAAGACCATCATTATCTATCATTATTTCCTGGACTGCTATTTTATCAAAGTCCCCTCTAGTCGAAACTCAGTGTTTGTTACAGTGTGATGTTTGATCTTCACTGTGCAAAATGATGAATGTGCAGAGTTTGACACTAGAAGGATGGTTTCACATTCATCTCCTGAAAGTGGAACGTTTCTCTGTGCTCATTAATATCTGATTTTAAGGCTTGGGGACAATCAGCATGATTTACCTCACAAATTGTTTGGAAGTCAAATACTGGTTTAATATGCAACTTCTACAAGTGTGATGTTGAAATGTGAAGTCACCAGAAATGACAACAATTTTTAATGAGGTAGAAGGAGGTGATTAGTTAGATTACTTGCTTGTTCCAAGCAGACTAGTTGTACATGGGATCTTTAAAATGATCATTTTAAATTCTAAATGATTTTGTTAAATAGAGAGCTGGATAGAGTGGATGGGGGAGGATTCACTGGTTCCTCCTGTATTTTGTGTCCTATCACTGCTGTTGCTGCACTAACACTGTTATGCAATATGGCCAGTGAAAAGGGTGAAGAGAAGACTGTTTGTTTACACCAGTATAAAATATAATATGATTCTCTAAGACAGATATTGTAGGAGTGGACCAGTATCTGAACAAAAAATATGTTGTCAAAAAAATTGAGGAAAACTACGAGCATGGTTGGAAACATGGAAATCTACCAGGGGCTCAGCTCCCCTGAAAGAGAAGAGTTCCCCAGAAAGTTTAATTTAAAATAATAATTCTTGGAGTCAATGTTTTTTTAAATAAATATTTTCCTATATATATTTAGGTGCCTGAAATAAATATTTTATATCTAAAAAACACAGTGCTGTAAAACAAATATTGTATGAATACTTGATAGTATATTTTTGTATGCAGGCAGGCACATTCATGTATGCTTGTGCATATGTACAGCACCCTCCCATCCCTGAAAAATGAGTGTGCCTAAAAGCCACGGTGTCATACGAAACACTGTGAGAAACAGTGACAGGAGAACAAACATGCTAGCAGATTATACATGTAATGTAGTTTGTGATATGCAAAGACAGCATAACAGGTACAGAGTAACAATAGGTACATGAAATGAAAACATGTGTGTAAGCGTCACCTGAGTGTGTGAAGGAGAAAGTGGGGTGATTCCAGGGTCACCCATGCTCTTTGCTGGAGAAGGATTAGCCATCGCATCTGTAGAGGAAGAGAGATATTCACGTTACAGTCACACACTCCACTTTAATCTTCTATGTTCAATCATTTTTTTATTCTTTTAAATGCTTACTCATAATATGCTACATACCGGCCCAAATATAAGACAATATATATTTTATGGAAGATGTTTGAAGAAGCGTTGGTCGAATTACATTTGATGATAATTAGGAGTTCTACTGAGCAAACTCCATCCACTGATGAACACCGTGAGATGAGACTGAAAGCCCCATCCTAAGGTTAGTTCCTACTTGCTGTTGTTGTCTAGGAACAGGAAGAGGAAGGAAGAGTGTGACAGGTCTGTGTGAGTATGTGTGTGTGTAGGCAACTTTGACGAACAGCTGTGACTATAAAATATCAGTAAACAGCGGAAATGCACAGTTTAATTTCCTATAGCACAATGGGCATCTTTAAATCTAGTTTATGACCCACCATCGATCCAAAACCCCAAAACAACATTTACTATCCTATATGACAAAAGATCCTCTTATTTGAGAGTCTGACAGCAGATAAATATTGATATTTGTTTGAAAAATGACTGAATCAATTATGAGAATAGTTTCTGTTAATAAACTAATCAATGAATTGACTAATAATTTTAGCTGTAGCCCAGTGACTGGAGTAGTTCTAGCTCTGAGGTTCAATATCCACAAGCCCCTTTGATCTGGGGTCTCCTGGAAAACAGTAGATCATCACCTGAACTTTCAGTCCTACCAGAACAACTATTTCATTCAAATGTCATTACTTCCATCTTACCAGAGAACATGTAGATTAAGCAATGACTGAAATCAGCTCTAGACTTCGAGCACAAAGCTACAAACACACTTAAGCAAATTAAACAGGCAGAATGAGTTGCTTTTGAGGGTGATAAGTCAGTTGGGATTGGAATTGATAAGCAGAATCGATAATGGTATTGGTATCAGTACAATCTTATCGGTACGATTCTTTATCAATTCTCTTATTGATTCCTGCTCGACCTACACACACACCTTTCAGCAACAAATGGTAAATGGACCGTATCTCCGACCACTACACTACATGTCACTCATGCACACACATTCATACGCCGTTCATTCAGCATCAGGAGCAATTTGGGGTGCAGACTCTTGCTCAAGGACAAATCGCTCCTGAGCCACAGCCACCATATGACACAACTGTCTGAACACAGTGTAGAAGCAGAGTAGAAAAAGGGTCTTACGTGTGACTCAGGTGTGCAAAGCTACAAAGTAACCCTTTCATTTGGGTTTTCTTAGTCAAAGAAAACATCTGCTAGGCTTAGCTTCAGCAGCGGTGTGAGAAAATATCGACAAATATCGGATCACAATATTTTGTTTTGTGATACTGTATCCATTCTGAAAAATACTGTATCGACTAGATAGCAGTGTTGTAAACTGTGGGCTATGATGTTGGATGTGACATATGCCTATGGTGGTGTGTTCTTTATATGACGAAAAATCCAGTATTTTGCCTTGCTTGCAGTATTGCATTATATCACAATATATTGGACGATAACTGCTGCATTGCCAAACGTAGTGTATTACCAGATTCTTGTCACTGAACACAGCCCTACGCTTGAGTTTATTGTCTTTGTTTTGAAATGCACAATGGTCAGAAAAACAAGCGGGCATTGATAAAAGGAATAAGCTCGGAAGCATATGATTCCGATGGATCAGACAATTAGGAACCATTCTCAAGGAACCTGCTCTCAATTACCATCCCCAGTCAGGTGGCTAAAAATGTTTTTTGTTGGATCCTTGTAGCTTGCAGGAGGGTTTTTAGTTACGATCAAACAGTCATGGTAACTGAGGAACTACTGTGAGATGCTGCCAGAACTGAACACCAAATTAATCCGTGCCCCGTTGCTAACCCTGAACTCCGGAAAGTCTCAGGCTGTAAATGGCAGAGAAGTGAAAAGATGGCTCCTTTCCTGCAGAGCTACAGACTGACAACATCTACTCCATTCAGACAGCAGAAAACGTCTGTTGCACCTGTCTTTAAAACACAATGACATTTCAATTGAATTGGAAATGGTCTCCCCATTTGCTACCATCATTTTCATTAGTCTGGCTTAATAGCCTTCACAGAGAGTGTTCTTTGAACACACACAATAATAATACTCCCTCGACGTATTGTAAGTGTCTGGCAGAATTGTCTCACGACGGGACATCATGTTATCCATCCTATTTTTCCGCCTCGCTCATCCTTTTCTCTTGTCCACCCCTACAGAGTGGATGAGTGGTCTGAAGACCCATAATACACTTTGCCAGGCAATTACGGTGCAGAATTACAGACCACCTGTGGCTAGGCTCCATCTAGCCACCATCCAGCCCGTCTCTCTGCGGCCCCGGCAGCCCACTCCCAAAATCACCTTTACAACCTTGAGTTTTTATTTCCAACAATGGCCATAAAAATCAAATCACGATTACAAAAATAAAGTGATTGCTCTTGTAGTAAATAATATCTCCAGTGCTGTATTACTGAGGTTTGGCTCAGCAGTTCTTTGTTATTGTGCCAGTTCAGTTTGTTTACCTCCATGTAATAAGAAATTTCATTACAGAGTTTCTAAACAGGCAGCTGGCTACGGAGTGCCACCTGTTTATCTACAACTTTCAATACTTAACACGAGATTAACTACTTCCAATCAATATTGTGTATTAGGCTATATGCCACTTACTGTGTGTTATATACAGGACAGTCACCTGTATGTTTAGCCTGGGAGTTGCTGAGAAATCCACAAAAATATAGTAGAATGAATTTGGTCCCTTCCTCACTCAGCTGTATGGAGGTTAAACCGGTTTCCAGAGTGAGGATTAGGTTATTATTGTAGTATCGGCATTTTATGGACTGATGAAGAAAATGATAACAGATTAATGGAAAATTAAAATAATTGTTAGTTGCAGCTCAAGCATTAACCCAATGTGTCTAACTAGGGCTGTCCCCAAAAACTTGATAACTTCAATCATCAGTTGACATCAGACACACAAATTACAGTAACTCTTTAGCAAGCTGACCCCAATTGTGCACTGTGACAACGTGAAAGCTAAAGCTTTGACCAACAGCAGTGAAAATAAAAGTTTAGACAGACAGTTTCAGGATTATTTTCTAATTCATATTTAATTATTTTTTTTCCAACCGTAGCTGAAAGCTAGGTGAGGTGAGCTCACGTTACAGCTCAGCCGAGGAGGATGCCATCAATGTTTACATCCTGTGCTGTCACGAGCACGAAACTCTCGTCTATGTTTAGATGCATGCTTCCTTCTGTGGGGTGATACATAGAAAGAAAAAAGTTCTTATGATGTGCAACTTATTGTTTTAGTGCAAAATGAAGGTAAAAAGAGACTGGAATGGTGCCATGCTTGTGAGACACTGATACAGGCATACTTATTGAAATCTCACTGTGATGACAGACATAAATAAAACATCTGAGACTGTGCTTTCATCATGATCCACACTTATAAACCTTACTTTATTACTATACACTTCTTAAAATCTTACTATATATCTCCACTGAAACTTTTGTCAGCGTTCCAAGATGCATACCATGTAACCACAATGTCCCTGGTTCAATTCCAGCCTTTGTTGAATAACTCAAAATAACAAAAAGCTGTCTAATGCTTAATGGGTATACAAATTAGTGTGTCATTTTTTGCTTGTCAAGAAGAAACAATCACTCAACTACAGTTAGCGCCCTGTGACTGTATGCCTCTGTCAACCAGTCAGGTTGTAGTTTACATCCATGTCTGTCAAGACTCATATATACACCAATCAGCCATAACATTGTGAGCACGGACAGGTGAAGTGAATAACACTGATTATCTGATTATCATGGCACCTGTCAGTGGGTGGGATATATTAGACAGCAAGTGAACATTCTGTCCTTAAAGTTGATGTCTTAGAAGCAGGAAAAATGGGCAGTGTCAAACCTGCAGCTCTTGTGGGGTGTTCCATGTCTGCAGTGGTCAGTACCTATCAAAAGTGCTCCAAGGAAGGAAAAGTGGTTAACCAGAGACAGGGTCATGGGCACCAAAGGCTCACCAGGGTGCCCAGGTGCCCATAACATAATGGCTCATTGTATATATGTGGAGGAAATTTAGAAAAGATATTAAATGTATTTTTTGGCTTAATGCAAGTTATCACAATATTGACTGATTTTTATGATTCCAGTGAATATAAATTATACATACAGAACACCAACACGGAGGCCTAAACAGATGTTAATGACATATAAGAACAGTAACTGTTTTTTCTGTTACAATCCTGGCACTGAACAAATTACTTTTAACAGCATTAACAGTTAGATGGCTTCAGAATACCCACACAGTGGAGAAAGATGAGTCAAATAAACAGGAAAGTTTGTATTCCTTTGAAAAGCCTGCTGAACTCGTGTTTACATTGCAGCACAGACTGTGCAGCTGAAAAGGATTTGAAGACACTATTCTCTCCTCTCAGCAGGAGCAGTGACTTCCTGCTGGCCTCGCATTACATCTATTCCCCTAATGACTGCTCTCAAGAGGCCTGAGCCACAACAGCATGTTAGTAAAATTATCAGGTACTTCTGCTCTGACTCAAAAATTAACTAGTCAAAGTACCACTGGAAACGGCTTCCTTGGACTTTAAAAGGCTTACATCAATAAATAAGAGAAGCCTTCATTTTTCTGATGACACTGATCTGCTGGACTAGGGTCACTTTCACAGAGGGTCTGCCTGATGAAAAGAGCAGCTAATCAAATACATGCTTTTAACCTGCACACAGGGGAGAGAGAACGTCACCAGCAACTCTTCAGCCACCACGAGCCAGACAGCCATCAGAGCACCACAATAGGAAGCATTCCACACAAACTACATCCATCCTAATTTCCAAGGATGATAGGTTCACAACTATTCATATCTCAACATGTATTCTGACAATATAGTTATTGCATAGTCCCATTGAATTATCAGTATGCGTTTCAATCTACTACATTTGTGCATATAATATACAG